CTCCGTGTGTGTGTGTGTCCACCGCACGTGTTAATAAAACCTACTATAATCCTATATTTGAAGTTTTCGTGATTGCAAGGATCCATACTCTTTGGTTCTTTGGGTAAAGTCACGTAGGTAAAATCACCCAGGAATGTCTGTCCTTAACGCTCGTGACGTCACTCCACGTAGACCAGCCCCCATCATTAATATTCATGAGCGGGTAACGTCCTCCAAATGGAGCACCCTCCCCCTTCATTAATAACATGAGCGGGTGACGTCACTACATCGACCAGCCCCCTCATTGATAATCATGAGCAGGTGACGTCACTCCACGTGGAGGGGCGGGGCGCCTCCTCCCCCCTCCTCGGCGTCAACTGACAACCCTCACTACAAAGGCAGAACCCTCACGTCATCACGTGATCTCAGTAACACTGTTGCTGAGACATCAAAGTAAAAAGGACGTCGTGATGAACAAGGGATTATAACCTTTAAATTAAATAGGTCTGTTTCACCGCGCCCTTACAAATTGCACTCGAATGGATGCAATGAATATAGCACGTCGCAGGGCTGATTTTCGCTTGCAAGTTTCAGATTTACTGGAATACACCCGTCCTTGGACGGGCAAAAAGGCTTGTATCAAAATAATCAGTGGTAAAATATCCGAACCGGCGCTTTGGGGCCCTTCCCCTCGGTCGACTCGGCCTTCAATACGAGCACGTGGTGGTGTGCCGGTGCATTTTACCATCATCAGCAGTGGGAGGCACAGGCGGCTGGGCCAAGGCAGTGGTTACTGCTCACGCAAAAACCCTCAAAGCCGGTGTGGGCTCTGCCGTGCGGGCCTCCTTACTTTAATCGGCGTGTTCCAAGGCTACAGGAGGAAGCTGGTGGTGGGGTCTTTGTGCGGGCCCCACAACCACCACCACCCCTCCAAACTCCTCCGTGAAAAATCCAGACACCGCCCCGGAATTGTAACGGACAGGTGGTGTTTTCGTACAGCCCTGGCTGCACATTTAGTTTAATGCCACACTTTTAACTGTACCTTCCCCCCACCCACCCACCCTAACAAGGTTAAGATAAAAATAAGTCCATTAAAAAGAATGACAATAATTTACAGGCCTCGTGTCAATCCACTGCTCGATGAGGGGGTCTTCCATACAGTTAAGTCTACAGGGGGCTGTTTGACTATTACTTCATCAGGCCATTACGTCATCACAGTTGAAGGTGGAGGGGGGAGTCAGGAAGACAAAGGTGGCCGGGTTTTCAGCTCAAACCTCCTAATCAATGCGCCACCGATGTAACCTAAACAAATGCTAAAAATATATAATTGATAGAATCATAATAATCACACGTGGCATGAGATGGCCTTCATCCAGCGGTGGATTGACCATGGCTGATGATAATAATGATGAAGAATAATCGCATGCAAAGTGATCCTGCAATACCGAATAAAGAATTCGGGTCACTTTGAAAACGAAGACGGCCTGCCGGCGGCTAACCAAAGGTTTGGTGGTTGTAGTCTTGGGAAAAAAAGAGGAATGATTACGATTACCGTATTCTCCGGGTGAAATGGCCAATCTGGAAAGTAACGAAACCCGTGCTCCCCCCCCCGTTATCAATAAAATCAAACAAATCTGGCCTCGCACACACACACAGCGGAGCTATAAGACAGCGCGCTTCACAAACGGTCGCTTTAAAAAGTACACGCTCGACAAGAGGGGGGGGGGGGGTGTGCGTGTCTCGTAATCCGGAGAACACGGTATTTTACGGGCCGAACTTTGTTTTTTTGTGCAGCGATTTTCGCAGCCCAGGAAGTGATGCGTGAAGTTAAAAGTGGAAGCTTGGGGGAGGGGGATGGGTCATCATCACCACGCTGTGATGTGGCGCCCCGCAGTGGTTTGGCGCTGGATGTCACCGGGTGCCACGCACCACCAAAGACAAAGACCCCCCCCCCTCCCACCGTATAGCCTTAACAGACTGTTGGGGGCAAGTGCTGTTAGCGAGTAGCAGCGCTCATGAAGGCGGGCACTGGGGGTGGCCAACACAACGACCCACGTCACGACAGGCACGGCAGCCACGTGGTCCACGGGCTGCCAGATTAAACGTTGGTGCCACCAAAGGTCGCAACGCTTTCAAAGTTCCGATTTATATATATGTCAACAATAAAAGAGTGGGTTATTTTATGGCCCGCTATTTTTTCCAGTGTTTATCTCACAATTCACTGTTATTGGCCCCATAAATAAATTGGAACCACCCTGCTTGTTAATATAAAACAAAGATTCTCCCCGTGTGTAGCTCGTAATATAGACCGTTGGGGCACGTAAACTAAACTATTTTTATTTTGCCAAATAAGGCCCACTGAGCTATACAGCTCTTTTTCAGAAGCGACTTGGCCACAAATGATAGCTCAACGAAGTGGCTCGTGATGAGGAAATTTATAGCAGCCCAATACTCTAAACGCATTTTGATTCTTAATGTGGATGGAAAAACTGGAGGACCCGGAGAAGAATCCACACGACCACGGGGAGAACATGCAAACTCCAAATATACAAGCGTCCAGGTTAGGATCGAACCCACGACCTCCTGCAAACCAGGCGAGGGAGTTAACTTTTTGCCAACTTGGCACCCTGTGCTGTTGGTGAGCACCTATTATAGTCGGGATGGTGCACGATGGGGTGTTGTGGTCAGCACCATGCCTGGCCTGCCTTTGTCTCCCCATTGCTGATGTTTACACACACGCGTGCATTGGGGTTTCATTAAGAATTTGGGGACATAATTTGAATGTGTTCGAATTAAATATGCCATGTTTTAATTAGTATTGTGCTGTCTTATAACACATTCTATACACAATGGGCTTATGTATCAGACAATGGCAAGTCAGGTCATATTATCTAATTGCTCTGCTATCATTACAGTGCAGTGATTAATGGCAGCGAGCTATTAGTATTTGTGCTTCGTGCACCACTGCAAATTCTGGCCGTGAATCATCAGCGGCATTGGTCACTCCACTGCTGGAAGAAGGCCTTCCCAATCCATTGAACCATTCACGATTCTGCGATGCGTCAGTTTACTAACACCTGCACACATGCTGATTGCTGTCCATTAATAGTGGACTTAAAATTATTTACACACGCAAGCGCATATGTACGTAAAATATAAAACTCACATGCGTAAATATATGCAATGCATGAAATGTATAACCAGGCGAGAGCCCCACTGAGAGAGAGGTCACTCTTGCAAGAGAGACCTGGGGTAAAATGAAACCAGCTGCTCACCACCGGGGAATCAAAGCCGGGTCAAAATAAACGAAAGTTTTCCACGATAGCTCTGCACCGGCTGTGTTAACGCGTCGCACGTGAGCCTGTAGATTTATGCGTCGCATGCAGTAAGCCGTACACAACGCCAATATCGTGTGTGAATGTATATTGAACTTCTTTCGCCACCATACGTAGCCAACCGTGCTAATCGGATGTGTACGTGCACATGCACAAGCTTACTTAGATAATAGTCTGGTGCTGGCACAAGTGCCGCGGTGACGTCACCGCCACTTGGAGAATGAATGGCGGTTGTTGTTGCACATGCAAAGCAATTTTGCAGTCCGTCTGAAATGCGGCCGCCAGAATGTGCACTCACTCACACTCCTTCAGGACCACCTCTGCTCATGTCTCTGCATTTGCTTCCAGTTCAAACCCATAACGAGTTAAAAATTATCCTACTTGTGTTCACGGCTTTCAGTGGACTTGGACCACCACACCGAATCGGCCCACACCATTTATCCACTGAGACCTCTGAGATCCACTGACCTAGCCCAATGTTCTTCATTACAAGTCCCTCAGGCCACTGGCGGCCCCTGGTGGCCTTTAGTGCGGTCCCTGGCTTGTGGGGTAACAACAATATACGAATTGGAAAACACGTTCCATCATCATCGTGGTGTCAAACCTCAATGGTTTCAAATCTGTGGCGGCCCTCACACTGATGATGTCTTATCGGCGAAAGTGACCCCCCCCCCCCCCCCCCCCCCTGGAAAATTAGTGAAGAACACTGCTGTAGGGTGACCCGCGGGTTGTCGTCCGGACGGTACCCAGGCTCTGGAGTTCCCTGTCCTTTGAGGTCAGGAGCTCGCAGTCCATAAGAGACTTGAGATCCCACCACTTGTTTAAAAGGAGCGTTCGTTCTCTCTAGTTCCCTATCTCGTCTCTCTCTGGTTAATTTTCACTTATTTTCCTCCTTTACACGCATGGTGTCCTGAGATCCATTATTTAACCGCTACTTTATGAATTTCAATCGTAATTATTATTACTTTGGTCAGTCCACTGCCCTCCACACACCGGGTGCGGTTTGCGGCGGGCCACTTGGGCCATACTTCACCACGCTAGTCGGTGTGGGTTGGCGGAGGTGGCGAACGTAGACAATGGGAGCGGTGGAAGTACAGGACAACAATGGATTTTACTGCACTGCCCCTCCACTGCACAGGGGCATAGAGCCCTCTCCACAGCAGGCCCACAGCGCCCAATTTGTGCACGATGGTTGCCTGTCCGAGCACAATCCAAGCTCAACGCTGCTTGGCTTGCGAGCTCCGATGGGATCGGTTGCAAATTGTGTGTGTAATTTACAGCCCTTAGTCTATACACTGCTGGATGAAGGCCTCCCCACAATGTGTCAGCCGTGGGTGCTATCTTGCCACGCTGTCCAGTGGAGGGGTGGGTTGGTGAAGGGGGGCCGCCAGGACCGGTTTGGGAATTGGAACTTGGGTCGCCGAAATCATAGTGCATTGCGCTATCCACTGCGCCACTGTTCCCACCAAATCAGTTTCATGAAATCGAGGTGTGTGTGTGCGCGCGTTCGTGATTCTCACTTGGTCTCATTGCACTCCCAGTTCTCTGCTCCTGTGTCTGCACACCATTGCCTCACCTCAGCAATCCTCACCTGTGTCCACGCCCCTCCTCCTCCCTTCCCCACCACCGTTACCTTTGTCTCACCCGGGCGCCAACTCTGCCCCTCACCCCGCGACCATCCACCAGGTGACTGCTACTGCCCGGCCGCCCTCATCCTGGGCTTCCCGCAGTACTGCCGCTACCGCGCGCTGCTCAAGCGCCTGCACGAGCCCGGCAAGGCGCTATCGGACCCCACCGCGCTGGCGCTGTGGGGGCTTGGGGTGCTGGGCCCCCCGCCGGCCTCCTCCCCCCCCACGTCTCCGCTGCAGCCGCCGCAGTTCCCCGTGTTCAAGGCGGGCGCCTCGGTGCGAGTCTTCTTCTGCCGAGAGACATTCGAGCACCCGGGCCTGGTGGAGGATGTCGCCGTGTGCCTGGATTTTGGTGAGGATCCGCCACCGGTTCCGCCTCGTTGCGGTTGCAGGCAGTGCAACTCCACCCCATGGGCCCCGGAGGAGCCTGGGCATCGGGATGTTTGAAGAGGGGGTGGGGATGTTGGACAGAGTTTGGGGAGCCCCCATTGCTTTCTTTGCACCAGGGCCCGTGTCGACCGTGCCAACCGTGCCGACCGTGCCGACCGTGCCGACCGTGCCACGCAGCTGGCCTCAGCGCGACTATATTTAAAACGTTATTTTTCAAATTCCACCATTCTCGGTTGGTGCTGCCGCCGGTGCTGTGTTGTCATGAGACAAATGATATTTTTATCCCAGTTGTTTACCCTTCCCAAAATGTATTTACTGAAAAAGCTCTTCCGGCACGTGGCCCGGACCACACACGGTAATGGAATTGGCCAAACATCCCAAAGCAGCACGATCCTCAAAAAGTATGTTGAGATTTAGTGAGGCCTTCCTGGATAAATTAATGCCACTGTTATTATTGTTACATTGTGTTCGTGAAACGGCCCTGGCTTATGATATCACGAAACTATTTCTGTCCGTTGGTCTTTTATCCACGCCCGTGTGCACGTCGTGTGTTGTAAGCCCTGCTAAGTGAGTTAACCTGTCATCAAGTTTAGATTAAAGTTTTTCATTTTCTGAGCTGGAATCGGCCGAATTAAGTAAAAACCAAAATGTAATACGATGAGGGTTTTTTTATGATGCCATCATTGGTGACCATGCAGAGAGACTATTAACTCGCTTTGCTTGAGAAACCCGGATTATTTTCACTGTTGGCTTGAACCTGGATTCGAACCCAGGATATAAAAATTAAAACTAATTTTTTTATATTTCAACCCAGTGTAAGGCCCACTGAGCTCCTGTTTAGCCGTTTTTCAGAAGCGACCTTGGTCATCACAAATTATAAGCTTAACTAAGTGGCTTATAATGAAAACTAATTTCTTTTGAACTGATTTTTGTGTTTAGTTTGTTGTCCGTCCCCCCCCGATCCCCACTGCACACTCTCAATAGCATGGTTGGCTACGTACGGTACGAAAGAAGTTCAACATACAGGCTCTCGCCGGTACCTACGCGGCATCTCTGTGGGTTTCTTGTCTGTGCGTGCTGTGTCCAAGTGGCCGGGCTTCACACGCGATGGGGTTGTGTTGGTGACTCAGAGTGAAAGTAGGTCATGTTGGATTTCCGCTCAAATGTCTGTGGGACTGGTCTCGTGCCCCATTTCACTGCCTTGAGCCCAGCGGTGGAAATGTCACAATACCGTGGCGCATCCAATTCCATTCGGGGGGACAAAACCGCCTTTGGCTTTTCACGAAATGGTCCCTCATTTTATTGACCCCCCCGGAAGAGCAATGGGGCCGAGTCGAACCCTGATTGGGACTGACTGGGATGTCAAATCTCACCCTGACGATTGTGATGCATCCACACACTTATCGCTTGCACCACCTGGTCACGTGCGGTTACTGATTAATGCCGATTTTCAAAACTATAGCACGGTTGAATCCGGGTTTCATCCGCCTGTGGTTTAGACGTTCTTATGTGTAGTGAGTTGATGTTTTCAGCTCGGTTACCAATGACAGTATTAAAGTAAAGTTTGCAGTACATTTTTATTTATATTCAGGTCTCAAATTTTTTTTAAATAAAATTTTGACGATCATGCAAATGAACGGTCATATCTCTCCTGGGCAGGGTAAGTGGGAATGTGCTGCCACCCTCCGAGTGCAGAATAAGAAGTCGCTTGAACGAATCTCAAAAGTAGTTTTGCGATGTCTGCTTCTGTGGATACCATGCTCTGAACACATGGTTGTCGTGCTGCTACTCCGTGTGGGTTCCTAAGAGACACACACGGTTCTCATGACATGACGGCGTTCGCACAACTGTAGCAAAAAAACTGGGAAATGCGTAAACCCTTCGCGCTCGTAGTGCGCCGTTAACTGTCGCCAAATCCGTACCGCATCAAACGGTGCAGCCGATATTCTACTTTTTAATTCAAAACATGGAAAATCGGACGACTTTACTGCAAAGTGGAATATAATTTGAGAGCAAACATTTTCTTGGACTTAAATAGCGGAACAGGGCCAACATTTTGTCGTGAAGCTGAATTTGCATCTAGAATTGAAGCAGTGGGAAACTGATTTTGAGAAACTGCTGCTGTTGATGATGTGGGGCGACGGATGTGTGGGTTTTTTTTTGCGGCAGTGTTTTTTTTTGTTCTAAGAAGTGGGTCACTGCACGTGACGGTGAGACGATGTTTGCGGGATGCTATACAGACACCGTTTCAAGATTTTTAAAAATAATTATTAATCGGAATTAATATTTTCTTCACACTTTTGCGTGGCTAAAACGCCAGCCAATTACGGCCCTGAATTCAGACGCATGCAAGCGAGCCATGCGGATCGCCGTCACACGCTAGTCGGTGCCGAGTGTTTACACACGGACCCGCACTCACTTCGGCCTTCCGTATTTGTGCCTTTAACTATGCTGTGCGCTTTTACAGTAAACAACTTTTGATGTCACGCTTTGTTTAATGCCCGATCAATAATTAATCATCGCGGTTATCGCTCGTAAATGTTTTCCGAAGCTGCACAAACACCCGGAGCTCTTTATTGTAAAGGCTCTTCCGTGCCTTTTGGTAATTCCCCACGCTTTTATTTCCTTCTTTAGTTTTCCCCCCCCTCTTTTGTTGCCGTTGATTAAAATGTTTTCTCCGTGACTTCCCTCTCGCTCGTAACAGCCGGCGATAGCCGCTGCTGCACGGGACACCATCGCTTTGGCCTGCATCCGCATCGGCCGTCGTAAACACAGAAAGTGGCCACCACACTGTAACAAAAAAAAAGACCGATTCCTTTTCCAGCGAAGCACATTTAGCGCCGTTCTAAAAGCGCGCCGAGCGGCGTTGCCACCCCTCGGCGCCCCAGCCCCAACCCGTACACGGTGGCGGCCGCTGCAGCGTTGGAATCACCGCGTCGTGTTTGTCAGGCTGCGCTAATTCCTCTCAATGACACGGGCGGCGGCGGCGGCGGCTCGCAGGGCGTTGACGTCACGGCCGCGTAAGCATGGAGGTCCAGCGTATCCCGTAATACGCGCACACAGCTCGCGACCACATTATAACGCTGCGGTCCCCCACCCCGCGTCGCCCCTCCCCCCTCGGCCCCCCCCCCCCACTCCTCCAAAACCTCAGCGTGTTTATCTGATAGCAAGATGTAAATGAGGAGGTGGTAAAACTCTTGACTCCCTTGCGATTGCTCGCTAAATTTGCTCCCGAGTCATCTTCGTCCTCGTTCCTCGCGCCTGCCCGAGTGGCCGCCACCATGGGTAACGTTTGCTTTCCACCGTCGCGTGCTCCGTCGCGTTCCCATCGTGTTCTCCGTCGCGTTCCCCCGTCGCGTTCCCCGTCGCGTTCTCCATCGCGTTCTCCGTCGCGTTCCCCCGTCGCGTTCTCCGCCCTGATGCGGTGCGCGTGGCGATACCCGGGGGGTCCGGCTTTTTGTTTTTTTTGGCTTAAACGTCTTCTCTCTTACAAGCAGCGCTTCGTGTCTTGCCAAATGTTTTACGGGTCGCAGGTGGACATGGCTATGATCCATAGCGAGAGGTATACTGGATGTGGTGTGCCAGCTGCAGAAATATTTTGCGATCCGGGCTGCACGGCTTCATCTGGAGTGCACGGTTGGCTTCTAGCGGTCCCTTAGGAATCCTGCACGGGGGGGTGGGGGGTCCCGACTTTGGATTAAGGGGGTTGGGGGGGGGGCACGTTCCCTGGCTTGGCGTTTGTTTTTATTCGTGCATGTGGCAGGAAACGCGGGGCCGTGCCGCAAAAGTGTCTCCATTGTTTGGCGAATTAAATATCGCATATCAATTTGTCCAATCCGCGACGGGCGAGCGGTGTTATTTTTAAAACAGTCCGATGGTCTCGGCCGGTGCTAAGTCAGTGCTGGTTGTGACCACTGACGTTCACGCTTGCTTTGTCTTAATAATTCGGGCCTATTCTAATCCACATTCAAAGCACTTTTACAAATCGGCACGCACAAACCATGCGTGGGGGTTAGAGTGGTACTCATTTTGGTTTGGAAAAGGTCTCGCGGTTTTGGCGGGGTGCAGTTGTTGCAAAGGGCGGGCGCTGCCACGCTGAGAGCGTCGCTATCGACGCCGTCTTGGTGGCGGTAGCGGTGGTGTGAGCATGCCGTAGGGTAATGAGCACGTGCGTGCGTGTGTGTGCGTGTGCGTCACTTCTGAAAAGGGAACTCGGCAGTGCAGCACGGCAGTGGGAGGGAGCGCGTGCTGTGCTCTTCCAAACCACCGCCAACAACGGCGACAACAAATGACTGTCGGCGCGATTTAACGTGCGCGTCTCTCTCTTGTTCCCCTCCCCCCCACCCCCCCCGTACCACCCACCTCCTTTCTCTCCCTCCCTCCTGCACTACCGCTATCGCCCCCGTGCCCGCCGGAAGCTCCGAACCTGAAGGGCCGTCCCCGGAAGAGACGCGCGCGGTTCGGACGCTCGGATTCGCGGTGTCGCCGAGACTCGAGGAGCTCCACCGAGGAGCAGGAAACCAAGGGCAAGGTAGGAGCAGGGGCAGCGGGCAAGGCTATGGGGCGGGGGGGGGGCAGGTCTGAAGGCATTGGCAAGTCATTCATTTGTTGGGTCGAACATTTCATTTATTCGTTCATCAATTTATGCGTTCGCTCGTTCGTATTCGCTATACTTCTTTTATATCCGAGGGGAGGGGCCACCGAGTTTGACGAGTCTCTTGTGCGAGGGAGACCTGGCAAGCGACTTGCAGGGGAGATGCAGAAGGGAATCGCGTGATCAGATCAGCGCAAATGGCACAGGAGGATGCTCGTAGAAAGAGCACATTTGAGAGAGCGGGAAACGCTGGCACGGCGGTTCACGCCCTGCAGATCACGGCTAACATCAGTGGCGAGTGATATTCAAACCGGTCTTGGGTGCTTTTAATTTACAAACCCGCACTGACGGTCGTGGTGAAGTATGGTCATGACAAACACTGTGACTTACACGACACGGGGTGGGCATTAATCCAGCTGTGATAGGTCAGGGCTGATGATGATAATCACGCGAATTATCATTGTGATGATAATGATAACTTAAAGATGACTGCAGCAGCTGAGACCGAAGTGGGATGGGGGACGAGACGGTAGAGGGAGGCGGATCCGGTACCGCCACCGTGTTTGGCCGCCGACGCGCTCCCGCTCACCGCAGCGCCGCCACCGCCACTCCCCGCAGGTGAAGTCGGAGCTCAAAAACCACACGTGCGCCGACGGGCCCACGAGGCCGCGCGCCGCCAGCAAGTCCGGCGGCGGCGGCTCGTCCACCAGGACGGGCGCTGGCGACGGCGCCTCAAAGCCCAAGGCCGGCGGAGCCTGCCCCCCGGCCGGGGGCGCCACCGTGGCCGTCCCCGCCGCCACCGCCGCCGCTCTGTCTCTGGCCGCCACGCCGACCGCGGGGGCCGCGTCTCCGGGGGAGGGAGCGACCAACTCGGCCGCTCGCGTCACCGCGGCGACGGCTGCGGCGGCGTCCGCCACAGTCGTCACCGCGGCGGTTGCGGCGACGGCGGCGGCGGCGGCGGCGGCGGCGGTGACCGGCGGCGCGCAGGGGAAGGGCGAGAAGACGGCAGAGGAGGAGAACTTCCTGCGGGAGCTGCACGGGTTCATGCGGACGCGCAAAACCCCCATCGGCCGCATCCCCAACCTCGGCTTCAAGCAGGGTGAGCGGTCGCGTCCAATTTCTTCTACTCGCCTCGTTCACGCGCTTGAGCACTCGCCTGCATGCTTGCTCGATCGCTCTTTTGCTCACAGTTTCAACACATCACTCGCTTGGCAACAGTACTACCTCGCTCATGCGCTCACTTGTTCAGTCACTCACGATCTCACTTGTTAGATCACTCGCCCACTTGCTTACTCACTCGCTCGCTCAATGGCCCGCTCACTCACCAACTCGCTCACCTGTTCATTCACTGGCTCAATAGCTCACTCGTTCACTCGTTGGCTCAACTGTTCACTTGCTCCCTTGCCCACTCACTCCCCTCTGAACGTCCGTTATGGCGGGGAACGCACGGAGACTCCCGCTGTGTACCGCATGCGTGCGTGCCGGCTCGCTCGTTACTCTCCCGAGAGCAGAGCGATATCGGGCCGCGCGGGATGAGATAAGGCGACGTGCGGGCGGGTGCGTGTGTCACAGCTCGCGCCTGCGATGTTGGCGACGTGGTCGGTTGCCCTCGTGCAGGCGAGCGTGGGCGATCGTGGGCTAACCCGGCACACGGGGGGGGGGGGGAAAACTTTCCTCCGCCCGCTCTTTTAAATAGTTGCGTTTCCCGCGGCAGCGTTCCCCCGCGATCGCCTCCCCACACCCCCCCCCCCCCCTCGGCCCCCACCGCCACACCGTGAAGCCGCTGCTGTGAGGTTCGATTGCCCGAATAATGAGATCTGGGGATTTTCTTGAAGTTCTCAACAACAACAACAAACCACCGGACGTGAAAAGCAAACTTGAATTGTGTCATCGGTCGCCACAGCGAGTCAATCGGCAGGCCACGCGTGGTGAGATACATTGTGGGTATTCGCCGTCTGGCTATTGTGGCAGTGGTATGAGTCTGGCAGTTGCCGGGTTGCACCTTTACCTTTGCGTTATTGATCACAGAATATGAGGGGCGGGGGGGGAGTGTGAAGCTGTGCTTCGCTCTCATTGTGCCGTGAACCTGGTGACCCGAGTTTGATTTCCAGCCGCGGCAGCAAGTGGTATCTGAACCGGTTGTGTGTCCACCCTCTATTATCCCGTGCTGACAGTGCGTTGAGAGGCCTTCGCCCAGCAGTAGATTGACAAAATTGCTTAAGTAATTTAAGTCTTATGTACGTATACGTGTCCTGTTTACGCATGTTTGCGTTTCGTGTTGAATCGTCTTTGCGTGTCGTTAAATCTGTTTTCTGTCCCACCACGCATTTTTATGTCATCGTGGGATTTTCTCGTCAATTGCAGATTTGATAACCTATCCGTGCGGATCCCTCCAGTGTTGTCCCATCGTAAGCGCGTGCACCGTGACTTGTCGTCATCACGAGATTAACGCCTGTGTGTCACGCCCTCTGTTTGTCTCTCCCTCTGGCAGTCGACCTGTGGGTGATGTTCAGAGCGGTGCAGGAGCTCGGCGGCTACGAAGCGGTACGTCTGCTCTCTTGGTCTCGATCACCGTCGATCACTACACCCACGCGACCCGTTAGCTCGTCCTTTTGCGATCGTCCGCGGGAGTGGGTGGGTATTAATTGGGGTAGGTGGGTTGGTTTGGGTGGGTGGCTATGAGTTTGGGTGGGTATGGGTGGGGGTGTGTATGGATATGGGTTTTGGTGAGTGGGTGGGTATGGGTTTGGGTTGGTGTGTATGTGTTTGGATGGGGATGAGTTTGAGTGGGTATGAGTTTGGGTGAATGGTTATTGGTGTGGATGGGTATGGGTTTGTGTGGGTTTGAGTTTGAGTGGGTGGGTATGGATGGGGGTGGGTGGGTAGGTATGGGTGGGAGTGCGTATGGGTATGGATGATCTAGCAGTATGTTGTACACCCTGGACACAATTGCAAACGAGTGTTTTATCTCAAGGGATTTATCCAGGTGAAATAGTGATATAAATAACTCAAACAAATTCATGAAATTAATGATAAGTTAGCAAGTTTGAGGTGTTGTCCTGGGAAGCGTAGAGAACACAGGCTGAAGTGGAGAGGGGGGAGGGCGGTTTAAAAGGAATGAAACTCGTGAATTATTAAACCCGTTGTGTGGCAGCGGTCGGTGGGGAGATGATTCAAATAGAAACGATCACCAATGGATTGCAAAGTACCCCAATGGATGAGCTGGCAGCGGGGTTATCGTAAAATCAATTATACATCTGTGGGTTAGCAAGTATTTTTATTCCAGGACCTGCCCCCTTATTTATACGGCGCACGCAACTGCCGGTCAGCCGTGTCAAATTCAAGCAAATTTGTGTGAAACCAATGACCACACACACTCACCCTCCGCTCGTGAAACCACGGTGACATTTAACATTTCTCGGTGACCAATATTCATTGATCATTGTGAGCAGTTAATATGAACTATAAAAAACTAAACTATGTTTTATTTCACTAGGTAAGGCCCACTGAGCTGTATATTGCTCTTTTTCAGAAAGCGACCTGGCCACAAATGATAGCTCAACGAAGTGGTTTATCATGTGGAAATTAATAGCAGCCAAATGCTCTAAATACGTGTTGACTCTAAATGTGGAGGGAAAAACCGGAGTACCCGGAGGAAAAAAACACGCGACCATGGAGAGAGAGAGAGACATCATCAAACCCACGACCCTCTGTATACCAGGCGAGGTAGTTTACATCTCGCCACCGATAAGAGCCTCTCCGGGCCAAGAATTCTCACGGAAAGGTCTGCTTCCATTTTTGAATGGAAGATTAATCGCGCTGTCTATTTATTTATTTATTGCATACATGCAGCTAAGGTATTTCATTCGTGTTTTTAACTTTCAGTAGATATCAGCACAGGGAACATTTACAGTGCTGGTCTTTTGGCCTAGGTCAGGGAGGTCACAGGTTGTATGTAGGTCACTGTCAACAACTTAACGTCCCACACGGTTCCTTCCGGTCAGAATAAGTTAAGCTCAACGAAGGTTGCCCGGACATCGTGATTGATTCGCGGTTCACGGGCGGGCAAATTAAGTTACTCCTGGGGTGGACGAAACGACAACGCACGCACACACACGCACGCACGCACTCGCACACACACGCACGCATGGACACACGCACGCACACGAGCGTTCCCCCGCGGCCGCGTCGCAAACCGCTGTCCCTGTGCCACGCGTCTCGCTCAGGTGACGTCACAGCGGCTCTGGAAGCAGATCTACGACACACTGGGTGGAAACCGCGGCAGCACGAGCGCCGCCACGTGCACCCGGCGCCACTACGAGAGGTGCGAGGGGGTGGGAGGTGGGGGGGGGGGCGGGGGGACACGGGACACTGTCCCGCGCTGCCATTTCCCAAACCTGCCTCCGGTGCCCGCGACGCGGAATGTAAACGTTGCGTGTCCCACGCAGGCTCATCCTTCCGTACGAGCGGCACGTGAAGGGCGAGGAGGACAAGCCGCTCCCTCCGCCGGTGAAGCCGCGGAAGCGGAGCGACGCCTCCTCCTCCTCCGGCGACAAGAAGAAGCAGCAGCAGAGCGAAGAGGAGGAGGAGGAGGAGGCGACGATGACGGCGGAGGAGAAGGAAGAGCGCTTCCGGCGATTGGAGTCCGACGCGGGTAACGCGGTCGCCGCGCCGGCGGGGGCGGCCGTCCGACGAGAGTCAGCCGACGGTGCCGTCAAGAGGCCGAGCGCGATGGTGCTCAAGGACAAGGAGGTGCGATTGCTCGGCGGGTCGGGTGAATCGCGAGAATTGTTTTGTGCGTGGCGATTGTTACGTGGGTGTTAGTTTTTTTGTGTTCTTCTTTGCCTCGTTGTTACTCGGGGATGGCTCTAGCCGGTTTGTCGGGTCCACTGCTCCATGAAGGCCCCACCCACCATGCAATGTCGGTTCAAGTGGCTTGTTTGACCATACTTCACCGCGGGTTGATGAAGGAGGAGGAAGTACAGAGAACACCGTATTTTGCTTCGTTGCCCACTGCTGCCCCACAACGCCCACTCGGGCTCAAACCCGCCGAGCTCGTGAGGTCTGACAGGATAGGGCAGGTCTAAATCAGAATATTTATACTGGAGGAATCCGATGAGCTATAAAGCTCCTTTTGACAGATGTCCAGGAGGGGCGGGCAAGAACATAACATCAACAAACAATACGAAACACGATAATAGTTAAAAGTACAAGAAGGATAACAAAAAAATATCTAAATCCCCTTTAAAACATACCAATAAAACTAAACCATCCCCATCCTACCCGATTCTCGCAGGTGAAGCGAGAGAGCGTGGAGCTCGCCACGCGGGCCCTCCACCCCGACTCGAAGGAGGACGGCCCGTCCGCCGTGCCGCTCGTCAGCGGCCTCGTCATCCCGGAGCTCAAGAAGGAGTCGGCGAGCATCCTCAAGGACGACTGGCTGCAGAGCGTTCTCAAGCGGCAGGCGGGCGCCGGCGAGCAGCGGGGCCTGGCCGTGGGCCACGCCGTGCCGGGCCTCCTGCAGGCCCGCACGGTGCAGGGCCACCTCGGCCACTTTGTCAACAACATCATCATGTCGCAGTTCTCCGACTTCGGCCCCGCGCGCTGCGCCACCGACGCTGGCTCGGCCGCCCGCGAGGGCCAACCGCAGGCGGCCGACGACGGGGGCCCCGAGCTGAGCTCGCTCGCCGCCGAAGGAGGCCCCGCAAAGAACGGGATGACGGCCGCGACCGGACTGGCGGCACCGTCGCCGCAGCCGGTGGCCGGCGCGGGCGGCGGCGGTAATGGCGGCGGGCCGGGCGCGATGTCGCCGCTCGCCCGTAAGAAGCTGCTGGCGCAGGTGAGCGCGATGAAGCCGGTGGGAGCGGCGCCGCCGCTGGCGTTGCGCGGCGGCGGCGGCGCCGCCGACGCTCCCGACGCGCACTCTCCGCCGTCGCCCCTGAACGTCGCGGCCTCCTCTGGCAAGAGGCCGACCGTGATCCAGCACGTGCATCTGGGCACCGGCGCGGGCAGGGAGGCGGACGAGATGCCGGGTTTCGACCCGGCACTCTCCTCCAAGGAGGTGAGCCGCCTGACCGAGTTCTACGGGAAGCACTTCACGCTGCCGTACCTCGCCCACCCCTTCAATGCGGCGGCGCTGTCGGCGGAGAGCGCGCGGCACGACGCCGACGCCAGGGACTCGCTGCGGCACTCGCCGCGGTGCCGGGGCGAGCAGGAGGCCAGTCGGCGCAGGCCGGAGCTGGACGACCGCCTTCCGAGCTCGCCGCCGGCACTGCTGCGGTCGCCGCCGCCGCCGCAGACGGCGCGGGGTCCAGTGGCCGGGGCGCCGGCGGAGCCGTGCAGCGATGACGAGCAGCCGACCGACCTCAGCCTGCGCAAGCCGGTGACGCCGCAGAAGCTTGCGTCGGGCACGAAGCCGGAGGCGGCGGCGCGGCCCAAGCCGCCCCCACCGGTGCCGTCGCCGGCGATGGACGCGTCGAAGGTCAAGGGTCACCCAGTGTCGCCGGCCGTGCCGGAGTTCCTGAAGGCGATGCCATTCGCGTCGTTCCCCCTGATCTCGCACGCGTTCTTCGACCTCAACCGCCTGTGCGGCGGCATCGCCTCCAAGCAACAGCAGCAGCAGCAGCAGCAGTCCCAGCCGGGCGTCGCCGCCGGCGCCGGCCCGGTGTTCCTGGACAAAACCGTGGCCGCGAGGCAGCAGCAGAACGCCGAGCAGCCTCCCTCCGCTGGCGCCACGAGCCCCCGCAAACGGACGGCGTCTGATGGCGGTGGTGGTGGCGGCAGCGGCGACGCGCCGAGCAAAAAACTCAAGACGGAGGGGGAGGCGCTGAGCTCCGCCGTGGCGCCGCAGTTCTACCTGAGCCCGTTCAGCATGGCTCTGCTGCCGCAGACGAAGGCCGCGGTCGGCGACGCGGGTGGCGGTGGCGGCGCCAGCACCGTGACCTTCTCCGGCACCCACGACGGGCGCCTGCAACCCGTGCCGATCCCCGAGCAGCTTCTGAAGGCGCGAGCCGCGGGCATCCCCATCCTGCCGGGGCTGCCGCTCAACCCCTTCCTGGTGCCGGCCACTTTTCAGGGGCGGCCGCTGCTGCTGCCGGCACCCGTGCGGCCGCAGGTGGCGTACGGGCGCGTGGCCCCGTCGCCCTCGTCACCGTCGGCGGTGTCGTCGTCCTCGTCCTCTTCTTCCTCCTCCACGTCCTCGTCCACCTCCTCGTCCACCTCCTCATCGCCTACGCTGTCGCCCGCGTCGGTGTCGTACGAGGAGATTCTGCACCGCAGCCGACTGGCCTACGCCGCCATGGTGCACTCTCCGCTCATTTACCCCAACGGCAGGATGTGAGGGAGCAGCGCGCCAGGCCTGGGCGGGCGGGCACGGGGGTGGGGGGGCGGGGGGCGGTTTGGGGGGGCCGCTGGCCCATCCAATAAACGATGACCTCTTTGATGAACCGGTTGGTTCCCCCGCGCTCGCTCGCTCGCTCGCCGGATGTGCCGGCCCGGAGCGACGGTGGTCCCCAAACTTGCGATCATTTCACTCGTCCGTCGTACTGCACTGGCTCATTTTTTTAAAGAAGAAAAAAGAATGAAATTACGGAAAGAAAAAAATTACTTCATGAAGTTCATGGCTAATGCTGGTATGTGAATTTTTCACGGGCTGCGCACTGAAGATTTTTTTATAGGTAATTTGGCCGACTCTAACGCTCTCACGAGGAACTCGGTTACAGACCCATCTATTTTTCTAAACAAACCTCAGACTTTAGGCAAGGACCTCCATCCGCAAGCTCAAGATAACCGCTGTGTCCTTCGTAAGAAGTATAAACTGCAAACCTCTCTCCCATTGGAGGAATATTAACAGAGTATTTTCCATGCACGATCAAAGATAATTCTGTGAATACAGCAACTTCTTGTGCCATCTTTTCTGCCCAGCATGACAAGACAAAACCACATGCACACACACACACGCACGAACACACGCACAAACACACGCACGAACACACGCGCACACTCTCTTGTTCTGCGTCAGAACGAGAGCGATGCCAGTTTCACCAATTCTTTTTTTTCCCCATTCGTACCCGACGCAAAACGCCATCGCAATGTGAACCACCCCTCGATGCGTAACTGGTAGTACTACTGACAAGCGGTGGAACCGATACGTTTTTGCTGACGAGTTAAGGAAAACATTCCGCGGCGGGATGATGTTTTAGTTTCATCGCGTGGGGAGCTCTTTGGCGGATTTGCGTGCAAGGTGCGCGTTCTCTGCGATCGAGCCGAGCGTTGCCTTAAAACGAGAGCGGGTGGCAGCTACGATAGAAAACCTACAGCAGGGAGGCACGCGTGTGTGTGCGCGCCTGGGTCTTGCTGTTACGCTGGTCGGAGGAGATTTCAAAAATGTCCTTCCATGAAAATAATAATGAGCTGTACATTTGGCAGGCTTTCTTCTTAACACTGGCTTCAAACGGGGGGAAAAAAACGGACGTATTTTTTATAACTATTTCTCTATGTAGAAAAACAAATGTATTTACAAATTTGCAAATGTTAACTGACGACGCAAATATCTATATGTATGTGTGTATATATATATAAAACGATTACTGCGTTACTGTACTTGTAAAAGAAACCACACATTTGTTTTCATCACGGCGCAGCGATGGCACGTTCGCCACTTGCCGCAGAGGTTCGCGGTTCGAATTACGGTGGCCGTACTGGTAAATACTGCGGTGTATATTGACCGGAGTAACAATACTGTACTACGTGCGACGTCTTCTTCACTCACAGCTGGCGTTAAAAATGCCGACCTGGACGTCATTCGCAAGAGTAGGCAATTGTGTGCCGAAGTCTGGGTCCAAATTTGACCAAATGCGCAAATTACGCCGCAGTCACTCAATTGGAATGATACATAGCAGTAATCATCGCCCCCTACTCACCAGACTAATGCCCCAGTCGTTCTTGCAAATGAAACCACTATCCTGGTCTCCGGAGTTCTCACCTGGTACCTGGGTAAACAAAATGAACTTAACGCGATCCGTCGACGGCGGTGGCAGCCCGTGGCGAATGACCTTGGCTGACCAATCACACGACTGTGGGAGTAAATCACGTGATGCACTGCCAGTTACCTCCCCATCCTTTTTTTTTGTCGTCTAGAAATTCCTTTACTCTTTAATTAGCTTCAGGCGCGTGTGCGCGCGGAGTCGGTCGGTCCGTTTTCTCTTTGCGTTTCGTTTGCGTTTACTGTAATTTTAACAAATTTACTAAACATATAATACTTTAGCCGTTAATGGCGCGGTGCTGTTTGCCTGACATCCCATTTATAAACCCCCACTTGTCCGCCTGGGTGGGTTCAGGCCGAATGCCGATTTGGTGCTTCTTTTGGTGAGATTTCGTCGGCTTTCTTGATTTTCACAGAGTGGGGGGGAGCTCGTGGCGGGGGGACGGACGTCAACTTGGCTCCGTCGCTCTGTGGAGCCTCCCCTCCCGGCCCTCTCCCGCGTGGTGTGGAACGACGTGAGATCATCCCAGGAGGGTTCTCCCGATGGGGGTTTTTTTGTTGTTGCGACGTTTCCATTGCCGTGCCAACTCTCGCAAACCATGTTCCCGTAGTTTCTCTCTTTTTTTTCCCATCGCTCACCTCATTGGGGAAAAAAGTATGTTAAAGATATATATACGTGTGTGTGTGTTTTATCGGTTCTTTTGATGCGTCCATACTCTCAGACTGATGAGATGTAATTATTGTTTGTTTTTTATTATTTAAGGTTTTTTTTTTCGTCTTACAAATACAAACTCTACACACTTTATTATCATGTTATCTGCACGCAAAGTAGCGCACGTATTTTACAGTACGGACATTGTAATGTATTTCCACTTATTTCTACGTGTGTGTGTGTGCGCGTGTACGCTGTGTACATTTGCTTTCAAAAACAAGTTTTGCTGTTTTAATCGTTTTAGACGTTACAAGTTATTATTGAACTGTATCCCTCAAACTGGCAGTTTAACACGTATTCACCAACATCTTACATGAGTTTGCCAGATGATGTTATTGGTCAATTATGTTCTGGTTGTTATCGACGACGATGATGACGGTGATGAAAACTGTGCCTAACAACTGCAGTTCACTTTTTATTTTTAAACCTGTGTCGGCTTCTAATTAAACAAAAAAATATTCTTGAAACTGACATTGACTTGGGTTTTTGTTCTTCACCACTTTTCGAGATTTTCTTGTTTTTGTTTTCAATGCAGTCCACTCTCGTGGCTTCACAAAATTCCACTTCCTTATCTCGCGCTGTTTGCGCCCGGTTTTGACAGAACAGGCGGCCAGAGTGATGTCACGAAAACCAAAAAATTTAAACTTAACTTTCCAAGCAGTTAAATATTCCCCCCCCAGCACCTCCGGCTAAGCCCAAAACATATTGGGGTTTTGTTACCAAGTTACTTAATGATTTGTTTCCACCAAACTTTTCACAATAACATCACAGTTTTTTTCAACTTCCAGTAGATTTAATATTGTTTTTCACTTGATTATTTGGCTGCTGTGTTGGTTGAAATTGTGGGTTATGACCACCAGAATTTAACTGGGCTATGGATTTTTTTGTGACCGCAATTTACGCTGCAGTTGCTGCTGCCACCACGGGACATTTCCACTGAGAACTCTCGCCAAGTGAAACTTGACCCCGTGTCGGAGAAATAAATGATCCTGGCAGATAATATCACGTAACTAATTCCCTGCAATCGCCTCTTATCCACACTCGGTGGCGTCTCTGCATTTTGCAACACGTCCTGCTGTCGAGGTAATCTGATCAAGCTTTTGTTTAGTCCTCTGCACTGGATTTTAGCCCAATCAAGTGACAAACTGAAATTTAATGTGATGGCTTTTTGCGCAGCCATTGGTGACCAGTCTGAGAACATCAACTCGATAGAATTTATATCTTGATTTGAAGCTTTCGTGACTGCAGAAATTCATACTCTTTGGTTCTTTCGGTAAAGTCACGTAGGTATAAAATAAATCACGACGTTTCGGGCGCAACACAAGCGTCCATCATCAGGTGGGAAAGCATAACCAGGTAAAGTCTTAACTGACTGATATTTCCAGCCTACCTGCCTATGTCAGCTGTTATTTCTGACTCTATCTCTCTCTCTGCCTCTCTTAGATCTCTCATGCTCACATGTCCTTTGGATTGCACTCTCATACTCACATGCCCTTTGGATTGCACTCTCATGCTCACATATCATTTGGATTGCACCTCTCATGCTCATGTCCTTTGGATTGCACTCTCATGCTCACATGTCCTTTGGATTGCACTCTCATGGTCACATGTCCTTTGGATTGCACTATCATGGTCACGTGTCCTTTGGATTGCACCCGTTGGGTTGCACTCCCTCGTCGAGGAGGCCGCTCTCCTCCTATCTTACAGTTACATACTAATCTCTCACATTAACATCACTAGCCCCGGCCACTTTATGACCCTTAGGCTACACCCATTTCAAACCTTTTAAAACAGTCTGCCTCAGTAGCAGGCCATGCTTTCCCACCTGATGACGGACGCTTGTGTGTGCGCCCGAAACGTCGTGATTTATTTTATTTTATACCTACGTGACTTTACGCGAAAGAACCAAAGAGTATAGACTTTATATCGCCTAACTCCGGGTAAATAGCGGTTGGCTGAAACCCGGATTCGAACCCAGAATCGTAGCGGGCCAAGCTTGGCGACTCATGGCACGGCCAGAATGAACTCCCCGTCAGGGATCCCGGCCCACCATTCATACCGAGGATCATTCTCACTGCTTCGCGTGGCCACGAGAGGGCACTCCAACATTGACTAAATTGACCAAAATCGCCCGGACTGCGCCCAATCTGGTCCGAACTTGGAAGCAACTGTTTTTATTTGACCAGGTAAGGCGCACTGAGCTATACAGTGAAGCTCTTTCGGAAGCGACCTGGCCACAAATGATAGCTCAATCAAGTGGCTTATCACGAGGAAATGTGCAGCCTCCATGTACTCGAAACGCGTGTTGATTTGAAATGTGGAGGGAAAACCCCACGCGACCGCGGGGAGAGAGGCACGCAAACTCCAAATACCTCGCCTGGTATTACTCGACGAGGTAGTTAACATCTCCAGGGGCGGAGATACGGGGGGGGGGGGGCTTAGCCCCCCCTGCAATTTTGAGAAATTCGGTAATCGGGATATCCGGCTGCTGCAAAATGCTGCAGGTTGCCACCTTGTGCTGCCCTGCAGGCTGCCACCTCGTGCTGTCCCGCAGGCTGCCACCTTGTGTGCTGCCCTGCAGGTTGCCACCTTGTGTGCTGCCCTGCAGGCTGCCACCTTGTGTGCTGCCCTGCAGGCTGCCACCTTGTGCTGCCCTGCAGGCTGCCACCTTGTGTGCTGCCCTGCAGGCTGCCACCTTGTGTGCTGCCCTGCAGGCTGCCACCTCGTGCTGCCCTGCAGGCTGCCACCTTGTGCTGCCCTGCAGGCTGCCACCTTGTGCTGCCCTGCAGGCTGCCACCTTGTGCTGCCCTGCAGGCTGCCACCTTGTGCTGCCCTGCAGGCTGCCACCTTGTGTGCTGCCCTGCTGGCTGCCACCTTGTGTGCTGCCCTGCAGGCTGCCACCTTGTGTGCTGCCCTGCTGGCTGCCACCTTGTGTGCTGCCCTGCTGGCTGTCACCTTGTGTGTTGCTCTGCAGGCTGCCACCTTGTGTGCTGCCCTGCAGGCTGCCACCTCGTGCTGCCCTGCGGGCTGCTTGAGCGGCAGCCTTTCGAACTTATCGAACTCATTAGTCACATCAGCGGCTCCAACCTATTAATAAACTCCGCGTTCAAATCCAATAAAAAATTGTTTTATACATTTGTGGCGCCCATTGGAAAAACATTACACTGGATATCTTAGAATATTGAAGACATCAGCCCCCCCCCCCCCCCCCAAAGTCAAAATCCTGGCTCCGCCTCTGAACATCTCACCACCGTGGCGCCCCAGGATTGACCCTAAGCCAGTCTCAGCATGCTTGAGCCTGCACAGTGCTTGGCTTGGCCATCGCCATGCACGAGCGGCGTTATTTGACCATACTTCACCACGCTGGTCGGTGCAGGTTTGGTGAAGGCAGCAGGGAAGAGCCTTGAGACGTGGGAGCCGGAGCAGTCTCCGTCAAACACTTGACCCCCCTGCAGTGCCCCCTGCCGCACGTGATCACTCCCACTGATGGACCAGTGGCGCCCACCAACACGCCGTCGCGGGTCACGGGGTGGGGGAATCCTTTGACCATACTTCACCGCGCTGGTCAATGCGGATTGTTGGCGAAGGTGCTGTCGCTGCCTTGTGAGGAAAAAAAATGTGAGCAAGCCCGGTTACGATCGATGGGTTTACGATCGCTGACGGCTGTGTGGAGTGTTTCGACTTCATTTTGACTCATCATCGTGACTCATGTGTTGAAGGCAGTGCAGTCTTCACTCATTATCAGAGCGAGCGCCACTTTCGCCGATGAGACATCAGCAGTGTGTGAAGGCCGCCACATTTTAAACCATTTGGGGGTTAACAGCAGCATGATGATGTGTGTGTGTGTGTGGGGGGGGGGAGGCGGTGTTTTCACCCTTGTGTTATTGTCGGGTTAGCCGCACTAAGAGGCCGCCAGGGTCCGTCAGTGGCCCGTGGGCTTAGCGATGAAGCTTCACGGGGCCTGCTCCAGTGCGGAGTGCCAGCTCTCACTCAAACATTGTGGACACCGAAATCAACACCGCACTTCGTGTCATCCTCGGAGGTGGCGGCGACGCCCTGAGGTCAACCCCACTACCGTGGTTTCCTGCTTTGCCGCGGTGGCTAGGAGATGTTAACTACCTCGCCTGGTGTACAGGAGGCGGTGGGTTCGATCCCGACCCTGACGCCTGCTGCTGTATATTTGGAGTTTGCGTGTTTTTTTTTCCCCTCCGGGTCCTCCGGGTTTACCCTCCACATTTAGAAACGCGAGAATAAAATTCCGTCTCTTCTTCAACCCCCTCCCAATGTGTGCAGATACTACTGTATGTAGGATGTGTAGGTATATATGCCTACAAATACATATATTTTTGGGGGGGGGGGGGGAAGAGTATTTCTTTGGGGGGGTCGATAATTGTTGTAAACCTGTTGGATGAACTTTTTACCCCCACATCTGGGTGGGGGGGGGGGGGGTCCACTTTCTGTAACTTTTTGATTGAGGCATTCTGAAAGGCCCTTATAGTTTAGTTGATGGACAAACGGACAAGTGGAACGCCGGGCTTTTATAACAGATGCGTTTAAGAGTATTTGGCTGCTAGAAATTTCCAGGTGATAAGCCACTTTCGTTGAGCTACCATTTGTGGCTAGGTCGCTTCTGGAAAAAGAGCTATGTAGCTTAGTGGGCCTCACCTGGTAAAAAAAAAGTTACATTTATAGTTTTACATCACTCCCAGGGGGCTAACGTCTGACGTGATGCCGTGACGACCCGGGAGCATCCACAAGATTACGGGGACACCCATCGCTCTGCCGCTCCAACGACACCTACGGGAATAATAACCACCACCTCGTGCACAGCTACACCGCTGTTGCTATACATCAGCATCGGCCGTACGATGAAGATTCAAATCGGACTATTTTCGGTTCTAAGAATTTTCAAACATTGGATTGGTTTGAATGCCACGTCTCGATGCAGTAGGGCACGTGGGAAAGCACACGTGCGCCCGAAGTGTGCACGTTTCAGAATAACGGTCGCTTGAAGGGATCTCAAAAACGCAGTTCTCGCTTGAAGGGATCTCAAAAACGCAGTTCTGTGAAGTATGCTTCCGCGAGCATCGCCCTGTAACAGGGCGATGCTCCTGGACGCACACGACGTCGTGGTGCAATCGTAACGAAATTCGGAACCGCGCGCAAAACTCCACACCCAGCACGCGCGCTCATCCTGCACCCTTAAACTTTATTGCCAAATCCGTACCGCGCCCACACGTGCAGCCAACATCACGTCTCGTTTTTTTTTAAACTAAAAACACTGGAAAGCGAAAAGACTTTACTGCATATTTAACCGTTTACTCTCCAGAGCTTAACACCGCATTATTTAAATTGGACACAACACAGACACTTAACAGACTCGGGGGGAGGGGGCTCCCACCGTAGGAATGTGGAATTTCCACCACTGGCTCAGGGGTGCCAACAGAGATGAGTTTTGTTAAGAGTGATTCGCGCGTCATTGATGAACGTTCGTTTTGATCCCATTTATATATTTGTTTATGTAACCCACCGACGTCTGCATCACCACCACCACCACCAACGGAGGGGAGACCGGGCGCCCGGGGCGTTACCGATGAGTCCCGGGCCCTTTCGTTGAAATTGTGAATCTGACGTTTTCGGCTTTTGTGCTTCCCCTGCTAGGGAAAGCGTTGAAAGCATTCACGGAGCGCGACCAGACACGTTGTGAAGTTGACGCGACGACGAACCAACCTACGGCCGCTCTCTCCGTTGGCGTTTGTGGGGTCGCGTCGCATGGGTTGCTCGGCACGATGTCCGACGTTTCGTTCTACGCACTTCAGGAACCGAATTCGGTTCCCGTTTCGGGCGCGACACGGGAAAACAATACTCGGCAGTTGTTCTGCGGTCACGTAAATCTCGCATCTAATGGGATTTATGGGGCCTGCTCATACAGGGGGTAAATGTCACGAGCGGACGTCCGTCCGTGTGCCAATGTGTGTGTGTGTGTGTCTCCTCGTGTGCGTGCAATTGGCTTCAAGGTGCACATGTCCTGGCACAAGCGTCGTGGTGACATCACCGCCACTTAGTGGTGAATGGCGGTTGTTGTTGTTGTTGTTGTGTAATTGCTCATGGCACTCTCTTTATTCCAACAAGCAAAAACAATATCTGCATGTGCCGCTCTCTTTTCGTCAATCCTCCGCTGGACGAAGGCCTCCTTCCCGCCACACCGTGTCGGTCGTGGGGGTTGTTTGACCGCACTTCACTGCGCTGGCCAAAGTGGGGGGTTGGGGGGGGGTTGGTGAAGGCGGGGAGCACAGACCGTGGAAGCAGAGGGGTGGAATTGCGCGGTGCTGCCCGCAACGTAGGGCAGCCTGTGACAACCGAGAGTGCGCGACGGGTCACCCGAACGAGCGCTTGCCCAGGCTCAACCCACGTTGGCTCCGGTGATTCGATAGGATTGGTCTAATCGTATATAAAAAAAAATATATTAATCGTAAGTTATTGTCTTAGCACCTAGTGAACCGTTCAGTCTACAGGAATCCATTGCATGTCGACGATAAATAAAGGTAATGAAGTGGTAATAATAATGCTGTATTGTGATGAGCTCAACTGACACACCGATAATGATGCAACCGATCACGAATCACAAAGAACGCACTCTGTTGCAGGCTAGCGTGCTTCATTATCAAGTACCCAAAAACAAGAACAACAATAATAATCACAATAACCAATTAGAACTTGATCTTCACGAACACGCGACAACGCTAAGTGGTTGGGATGTAACGAGTCGCCCTCTTCCGATTCGATGAATAGTCACAACTCGATCTAGGCTTGGTTATTTATGTATGCGACTGAGAACCCTACGTAGTGGTAGCATTGCTTGCACACCGCGTCACAGCACTGCATACACCTATCAGAATCAGACGATTCTTGCACTCGCGATTCCACGCGAGACTAGCAATCGATTCGATCAGGCGATTTAATCATTACACCCCTCCCGAGTGGTTTACGTGAACTATTCAGCGCGAAAACAAAAACAAAACTACGTCACGAACCGTCATTGTACCAGCAACTCAGAGCGGCTCAAAACACAAAATGAAAACGAAGCTGAAACGGAGCGTCCCGGCTCGGCCGCGCTCACACCGGTGTCTGCAGGCACCGCGTTCCGCGCCCGCCATTGCCAAACGCGTCAATCATCCCGCTCCGGTTCGCGGAATCCGGCTCGGGCTTTTCGTCCCGCCGGCGCCACGGCGCGGCTCCTCGATCGGTGCTCGCCAGAGCTGAGCGGCGCCGGTCTCCGCTCTGTCCGTCGTCCGATCCCTTGTCCGTCTCCGCGAGCGCGGCCTCGCTCGCCGAGCTTCCACCGCCGCTGCTGCTGCTGCCGACGCCGCTGCTCGTGCTGGATGCGGTGCTGCCGACGCTGGAAGCGGTGCTGCCCGACGAAGCGTGGTGACGACGGCCGGCGCCGCCGGCGGCGGCGGCGGCTTCGCCTCCTTCTTCTTCTTCTTCCGCCGCCGCCGTCGCGTCGATGGCGCCCTTTCCGTCGCGGCGCGCCGGCGCGGCGCCCCCCGGGCGTTGCGGTCCACTCACCAGCTTGGGGTCCAGCGACATGGAGCGTGGCCTCCACACGGGCTCCGCGTCGTCGGCGCTCGCCGTCTCGTCTACCGGGCCGCCCGGCGGTGGCGGTGGCGCCCGGCGCTTCTTGGACCGGAGCGCCGGGCTGCTTGTGTCGCTGTCGGACGTCGAGCTGTCGTAATCCGCCGCCGCCGGAGCCGCCGACGGCGCCGGCAGGAAGTACCGCCCCCTGCTTGGCGGGCGCCGCAGGGCATTGTGGGAGCTGCCGCTGGTGCTCGGTGCCGCCCCCTCGTCCGCCTGAGTCTCCGGGTCGCTCCTGCTTTCCGCTGGGATCTCGGGGAGGTCGATTCCTACGGACAACATTTTTGCGCATGTTCTTTCAACACCGGTATGCATGCGAACGCTTACATTTCGACCATCAACGGAATTGTATCTGTGTACGTAAACAACTGACAGAGTCAATACCATCGGTATGTTTGAGCGACGGAAACAAAGGGCCGGTTGGCAGTATTCTCAGCAATGCTTCCATTTCAGAGAAGACATGTTCACGTGAATGCGAGTAACGGGGCAATCGTTCGTCGCAGGTAATTGCGCGAGCATTGGCTCGAGGATGCTGTGGGACCCCTCACTGCCCCCTGGGTTCTCGGGTGTGCCACCTTGGCTGCCCCTGGGGCTCGTCGTCGTTTTTGTCAAGGTGCTGACTGAAGATTAGCTCAGCTGTGCTACCATGCGGGGACGGAGGGCCATACGGGCTCGCGAGCAATCTTGGGGGCCCGTGAGACTGTCCTCGCTCATCTGTACTCGCGTACCTGTACTCGCGCACCTGTACTCTCACACCACGTGCTGTGCTCTCACACCACGTGCTGTACTCTCACACCACGTGCTGTGCCCTCACACCACGTGCTGTACTCTCACACCACGTGCTGTACTCTCACACCACGTGCTGTGCCCTCACACCACGTGCTGTACTCTCACACCACGTGCTGTACTCTCACACCACGTGCTGTGCCCTCACACCACGTGCTGTGCTCTCACACCACGTGCTGTACTCTCACATCACGTGCTGTGCCCTCACACCACGTGCTGTGCCCTCACACCACGTGCTGTGCCCTCACACCACGTGCTGTGCCCTCACACCACGTGCTGTGCCCTCACACCACGTGCTGTACTCTCACACCACGTGCTGTGCCCTCACACCACGTGCTGTGCTCTCACACCACGTGCTGTGCTCTCACACCACGTGCTGTGCTCTCACACCACGTGCTGTGCTCTCACACCACGTGCTGTACTCTCACACCACGTGCTGTACTCTCACACCACGTGCTGTGCCCTCACACCACGTGCTGTGCCCTCACACCACGTGCTGTGCCCTCACACCACGTGCTGTACTCACGCATCTGCTCGTAGAGAGAGATTCCCCTGTGGCCCCCGAACGACGGCTGCTTCCTCAGTGCCGAGGCGTCGATCTTCATGAGGCTGCTGCAGCACTGCCTCCACGACTCTGTGAGTGACACGGCAGGAGAGGGGGGGGGGGAGGGGGTTGGGAGGGGGGGTGGGGCACGGGGATCGTGAACGACCGGACCAGACGACACAAACGAGAGGAGGCGGTGCGAGCGGCACGGCGAGTGTCGTCGGCTCACCGGTGTCCAGCTGGTGCTGCCACAGCGCCTCGAGCCAGCGGTGCGCGTCGCCGGGGCTCGGCGTGGTGAGGGCGTGCGTGCGCCCCGCCCCCGCCTCCACGTTGGTGACGGTGAAGCCCGGCCCGCGGTGCCGCGAGGCGTCCCGCTCCAGGACGCGCAGACGCGTCTCCTGCGGGCGGGCGAGTGAGTGGTTAGGCGAGTGGGTGAGAGGGTGAACGGATGAGTGGGTGGGTGAGTGGGCGAGTGAGCGAGCGCGTGGAGTGGGTGAGAGAATGGGCGACTGATTGAGCGAGCAGGTGAATGGCTGAATGGTCAAACGAGTGGATAGTTGAGCGGGTGGGTGAATGGGTGCAGGAGCGGTGGAGGGGGGGGGGGGTTCATGAACAGGTAAATGATTGGGTATATGAGCGGGTGGACGAGCGGGTGGAATGTCCACCGTTTGGCGTAGCATTCCACTCAAACGTCTCCCCTGTTAGCTGCAGTGTGACGACGTTCAAGCCTCTGCCCGCCCCGCGGGTCCAACCGATGGCCGCGCGACTCCGCGGCTGCTTGCCTTGGTGATGGCGATGCTGAGCAGCGGCGCCCGGCCCTCGTCCAGCGCCGTCCGGCTCGCGTAGGCTGAGAGAGCGCCGGCCCTGAGTGCGGCGTGGAGTGGCGTGAGGGGGCACTCAGCGGAGGGGCCCTGCTGCTGCTGCTGCTGCGTCGGTCACGGCCCGGGGGGAGAGAGAACGCGTCACAACCAGCGGCCTTCCCGACGGCTCGTCGATGCGGTGCCACGGTTGCTTAACTGCGGCTCCAGTCAGGGTTGCCACCTGTTCTGGTTTTCCCCGGGGCGTTCGCTGTTTGCGGTACCTCTCCTGGGATATCTGTCCATCTTCCCGGTTTTTGTCGGTTGCGTAATCGTAACGATGCATGAACGTGAGCTTCTCCCCTCTTCCACTATTGTGAGATATCCTTCTGTACCTCAAAGTTGGCATCCCTAACCAAGCGAGAAAACAGTCTCGAGCCTGTGCTTGAATCGATAAGAAGTTGCTCGACGCAGCGATACTGCCATGACAGCACGCGCAGGCGTGCTGCTCGCAAACAGCTGCACAGCACGACTCCCATCATGCCTTGCGTGCATGTCATGTGACCACCACATTGTTTGTATAATACTGTCAGCCTTGCGTAGACCACCAACTCAAGAGAGCTGAAAGTGTGGCCGTCCCTTCAGGCAGCAGTTTCAAGCTTTAGGTTTATTTTGTTGAAACAGGTATGTAAGTTGAACTTCTTTCACACCATATGTAGCCACCCGGATAATCGGAGGTAGGAACTCAAGAGGCCAGGTCTCATTTGCATGAGTGATCGATCTCAGTCACCAAAATAAAACGATCTCAACAAATACATTTGACTGCAACACAAGCAATCATCATCAGGTGTGATCATCATCAGGTGTGATGATGATTGCTTGTGTTGTAGTCGAAACGTCGTAAGAATTTTAATGTTTTATATTTTTATTATTTTATTGTTTCCCTTCTACGTGACTTTACCGAAAGAACCAATAATATAAATACATTTAACTTCAGCGACAAAGCAAATAAAAATGAGAGAAAAAAACAGCTGCATCAGAGACAACTGTAGACCAGTCTCTCTCTTGCTGTGGACTCATTAGTGCAGTCATCGTTGTGCAATGACAAGCCACAGTGCTGCAATTGGGGCCATGCAAGCGAAACTATGGAGCATATGATAAACCCATAGAGACACATAACATAGCGACAAAGAGACCCATAGAGATACATTAAAGATAAGCCACAATACTACGATTGTGGCCATGCAACCCAAACTATGGACTCGATGGAGTAAACCACTGTCCTCTGCACTCCTTCAACGGAGGAGAAGGAACAGCACATAACGACGCAAACTCTCTCTCTCTCTGCTGAAGCCCTCTCGTTGTGGCCAGCAGCAGATCCGGCCATACTGGATATCTGTAAAAAAAAAAGAGCTTCATAACTCATCAGATTCCTCCATTGGGTTCCTTTTCGGAATCATTGGATTCCCCCGGTCTAAATAAAGACTGACTCTGACAAGCAGGCATTTAGCTCCCGAGCATCTCGCTTCTGCCACCGTGCGCAGGAACAGAACGGGATCAGTCGTCGACGTTTTCGCCGCTGACGTGAGGCTGCGACTGGCGGTGACGCCGCCGGTGCGGAACCGTTCCCGAGAACGCCGGCGCCGTCGCGGCAAGGGTCGAGAGCGATGGGCGCGGGGAGGACGCGAGAACGAACCTGGAGCGTGAGGGAACCAGACATCCGCACGTCGGTCATGCACAGCGGCTGGGCCACGAGGCGGCAGCAGATGCTCCCGTAGAGCGGTAGCCAGAAGGAGCACTCCTCTGTCGCGGCACAGAGAGAGACGCAGAGAGGGGGTTGAAGACGTTACGAGCGCCCCGATCACTCTCCCGCTCCCCCGCGCCTGGCGTCCCCCCTCCCATTGCCATGACGTGGGACGCTCCCGCGCGTCGCAGCCGCGCGGGACGTTCCATTCCAGCTGCGTGGGGGGCGGCCCTGCGCAGAGCGCAGCGAACAAGGTCTAGAAGCACCAACTCTGCTCATTTTCGCAGCAGCGACTTTTGGCTGCTGGCCATCAAACGATGATGGTCACTGCAATCGCGCGCTTTCAGATGCGCTTCTGCGGCCGTCTGGAACGCTCTTCCTTCCGGGATTATGAAGCCACCGGAGCTGTGCACTTTTAAATCTAAATTGAAAACTATTTTCTTTAAAACTGCTTTTGTGTTTAGCTTGTTGTCCTTCCCCCGCACCTAGCACGGTTGCCTACGTATGGTGCGAAAGAAGTTTAACATACATACAAAGTTCAACGTGATGTCATCAGCTCAGATGGGATGAGCGATGAGGCATCGGTGCACATCTCCCGTTTACAGCCCTGAGCCAGTAGTGGAATTTGCTAACCGCTATGGCAGGGGTGAGCCTCTCTGTAGGACAATCACTGTTCATATCCCCACAAACTGGTATCTATTTTATTCACTCCAGTGGCATGATGATGAGCGGAAGCTCATCGAGTCAACACCCCCACCCCCCCCGGCCCAACCAGGATTTGAACTCGGTTGTCAGTGACAGGCAATGTTCACCACACCGGTCAGTGTGGGTTGGTGAAAGAGGTGGAGGGAGGGGGGGGTACCCAAGACCGGTTCAGGTCTCATTCAACACCAACTTTAGTAGTGGCTGAGGATGGAACTTGGGTCACCAGCTTCACAGCACCACCACTCTTATATTGTAGCTAAGAGACACATAGCGGGGTGGGGTGAGGTGAGGGGTTGGGGGATTGGGGGGGGGGGGGTCATCACAGCATTATGGAAAGAAAAAAAACTGAAATAAATGTTTCGTCTAATTGGGTAAAAAAGGGAAACGATGAGAGAGGACGGCGGCAGAGGCGGAGAGACAAAGTCAGGGGTAAGAGAGAGAGAGAGACAAAGTCAGGGGTAAGAGAGAGACAAGGTCAGGGGTAAGAGAGACAAGGTCAGGGGTAAGAGAGAGAGACAAAGTCAGGGGTAAGAGAGAGAGAAGGTCAGGGGTAAGAGAGAGAGACAAGGTCAGGGGTAAGAGAGAGAGAGAGACAAGGTCAGGGGTAAGAGAGAGAGAGACAAGGTCAGGGGTAAGAGAGACAAGGTCAGGGGTAAGAGAGAGACAAGGTCAGGGGTAAGAGAGAGACAAAGTCAGGGGTAAGAGAGAGACAAGGTCAGGGGTAAGAGAGAGAGAGAGAGACAAGGTCAGGGGTAAGAGAGAGAGACAAAGTCAGGGGTAAGAGAGAGAGACAAAGTCAGGGGTAAGAGAGAGAGAGAGACAAGGTCAGGGGTAAGAGAGAGAGAGAGAGAAAGTCAGGGGTAAGAGAGAGAGAGAGACAAGGTCAGGGGTAAGAGAGAGAGAGAGACAAGGTCAGGGGTAAGAGAGAGACAAGGTCAGGGGTAAGAGAGAGAGACAAGGTCAGGGGTGAGAGAGAGAGACAAGGTCAGGGGTAAGAGAGAGAGAGACAGAGAGAGAGACAAGGTCAGGGGTAAGAGAGAGAGACAAGGTCAAGGGTAAGAGAGAGAGAGAGACAAGGTCAGGGGTAAGAGAGAGAGACAAGGTCAGGGGTAAGAGAGACAAGGTCAGGGGTAAGAGAAAGACAAAGTCAGGGGTAAGAGAGAGAGAGAAGGTCAGGGGTAAGAGAGAGAGAGACAAGGTCAGGGGTAAGAGAGAGAGACAAGGTCAGGGGTAAGAGAGAGAGAGAGACACGGTCAGGGGTAAGAGAGAGAGAGAGACAAGGTCAGGGGTAAGAGAGACAAGGTCAGGGGTAAGAGAGAGACAAGGTCAGGAGTAAGAGAGAGAGAGAAGGTCAGGGGTAAGAGAGAGAGACAAGGTCAGGGGTAAGAGAGAGAGACAAGGTCAGGGGTAAGACAGAGAGAGAGAAGGTCAGGGGTAAGAGAGAGAGAGATGGGAGGAATAAGAGAGAGGAACAAAGAGGAGCGTAGGGAGTGCGGAAGTGAGAGAGAGAGAGAGATGAGATGGAATGAGAGAGAGATGAGATGGAATTAGAGAGAGAGATGAGAGGGAATGAGAGAGAGATGAGATGGAATGAGAGAGAAATCAGATGGAATGAGAGAGAGAGATTAGATGGAATGAGAGAGAGATGAGAGGGAATGAGAAAGAGATGAGATGGAATGAGAGAGATGAAATGGAATGAGAGAGAGAGATGAGATGGAATGAGAGAGATGAGATGGAATGAGAGAGAGATGAGATGGAATGAGAGAGAGAGAGATGAGATGGAATGAGAGAAAAAGATGAGATGGAATGAGAGAGAGAGAGATGAGATGGAATGAGAGAGATAGATGAGATGGAATTAGAGAGATGAGATGAGATGGAATTAGAGAGAGAGAGATGAGATGAAATGAGAGAGAGATGAGAGGGAATGAGAGAGAGATGAGAGGGAATGAGAGAGAGATGAGATGGAATGAGAGAGAAATTAGATGGAATGACAGAGAGAGATTAGATGGAATGAGAGAGATGAGAGGGAATGAGAGAGAGATGAGATGGAATGAGAGAGATGAGATGGAATGAGAGAGAGAGGTGAGATGGAATGAGAGAGAGATGAGATGGAATGAGAGAGAGATGAGATGGAATGCGAGAGAGGGATGAGATGGAATGAGAGAGAGATGAGATGGAATGAGAGAAAGAGATGAGATGGAATGAGAGAGATGAGATGGAATGAGAGAGAGAGATGAGATGGAATGAGAGAGATAGATGAGATGGAATGAGAGAGATGAGATGAGATGGAATTAGAGAGAGATGAGATGGAATGAGAGAGAGATGAGAGGGAATGACAGAGAGATGAGATGGAATAAGAGCGACTCATGCGGTGGCTGTGACTCATGCCTCAGGCTACAAACGCCCCTTTGCTCCTAGTGAAACGAGTGGGTGTTTGCAAACCGAACAATTGAAAAACGAAGGCTGCGGTTACATCATGGCTTGCGTCACCAGACGGATGTGGGTCGGATGTCCAAAATCCTTAAAGCTGCTTCCAACTTTGATGGCTTTCCTTCATCGCCAATCCGTTATCATCATCATCATCACCACCACGTCCCTCATTTGTGATCCCCATTAACAATCCTATTCATTATTTTGTTCCCTGAATTTCAATGAATGGGATTACAATTTATTTTCGTATGGCAAATAGTTCAGTGTATGCTTTTAAAACTATTTAAGTTAAACGGAACTATTTTTTATTATTTTACCAGGTAAGACCCACTGAACTATATAGCTCTTTTTCAGAAGCGACCTGGCCACAAATGATAGCTCAACGAAGTGGCTCATCCTGTGGAAATTTATAGCAGCCAAATCCTGTAAATGCATGTTGATTCTAAATGTGGAGAGAAAACCCGAAGCACCCGGAGAAAAATCTACGTGACCACGTAGAGGGAGACACGCAAACTCCAAATATGCAGGTGTCAGGGTCGGGATGGAACCCCCGACCTCCTGCATATCAGGCGAGGTAGTTAACAACTCTCCACCATGGCGCCCTACTCGCTCGAAGCATTGGTAACATGTGGGTCAGATCACGGGAGTGAAATGTGTGTCATGAACCCTTCCAGGGGCGGAGCCAGGGGGGTGACAGGGTAGACAATTTTCACCCCCGAAAAAAAATAAAAAATCGAAAATCTGAAACATTCTTGCGTATAAGTGTACGACACTCGGTCTGGCGGACTCCGTGCAACTGCATTGTCAGAGTGTGTCGCCAACCGATGGCGTCTGGTTCAACAGCCTGACTCTCTAATCATTCTTGAAATAAAAATTTGTTGAATGTTACCCCGGGCTGAAAATCCTGGCTCCGCCCCTGAACCCTTCTACCACCTGACACGGCCAATGGATAAGTTGTCACGTGATGAATAAACGTGCCAGGTGTTATTGCTTCAGCAGGACCGGTTGGGTTGTTGTTGGAGCACAATCCAGTAAGTAGTTAACAATTGGGTACGGATGCTTCTCTGTTAGTTACAACCAGCATCGTCAAGCAGTTGCCAGAATTGTGAAAATGTCCTCAGGTCTTGTGCGCCCACAACGGAGCAGGAAGCGGTTCCAGGGGAGGTTCGTCATTTTGTCCAATAAACACGATGTAGGATGCAGGGTAATGAGTTTCACATTTAACTAAGTCACACGTGATGGATTCTGTCCACGTGATGGGATCCGTCCATATAGCGGTTTCCTTCCACGTGATGGCGTTTGTGTTTTCTCCGCCTGTTGTGCGCGAGTTTTCTCAGAGTTCTCCAGTTTCCTCCCATAGCTAAACAACACAAACTGTCGACATTCGCCACTAAGTGGCGGTGACGTCACCATGGCGCCAGTGCCAGGCCAGGTGCACCTAGAGGTCACGTGAAGTGTTGAAGGCTCGCTGTGCTGGAGGTCACGGGACATACTCAGGTGCCATGGGTTGACTGACTGAGATGACTGGCAGATGCACCAGCTTTGTTCCCCTCCTGTCAACTTTCTGCATTTTAGCTACCTGCCTCCGCGCTCGTTGCGAGCATCAGCTACTCTGCCCTCCGTTGTTGTTGGAGGGCAATTGCCTCCAACTCTCCAGGAGCGTTCTTCACGAGCCTCGTCCATAAAGGCCGATCTTGACACCGGTCATTGGCAAATCTACTCAGCTCCACATCCTCCTGTACCAGCCCGTGTCACGCCCATTTAGCCCCCTCTACATGGCCAAACAGAAGCTGCTTGGGCATAACTAAACAAAGATCCCCCGTATAGCCTGTAACAGACTGTTGGGGCAAGTGCTGTTATTGAGCGCCTATGAAGGCCGGCACGGTACACGAGGGGGTGGGGGCCCAACACCACTCCTGGCCGCCTTTGTCTCCCCAGTGGTGACGTTTACACATCGCACCAGGTACAAATTTGAGGCTGAGTCGACCTAGAGGTGGCCCATGACCGGTTCAGATAATGGTCACTGGTGTTGGCCGTGAGCCGGGAATCGAACTTGGGCGGCAGGGTTTGCAGCGTAGCGCTAAACCCACACACACACACGCACCCCCGATGTAACTGGTGCTGCACAAAACATTCCAACGCTGAAAGATTACCTGCACGTTACTCAATTGGGATTTACACACGGCAGCAGCATCGACCTCCCCCCCTCCAACCGCAAAACAAAAAAAATACTTGACAGCACCCTCCTGAAAATGAGTCTTGAGAGTCAGCGAGGCTTCCCCCGGGTCAATAAGCGTGACAAATAAATAATCAAATAACACAAGGGGGCCCGTACACTTCAAGAGCAGCTTTGATCAAATAATTATAAGCCGCTGCCGTGCCAACGCATTTGATGTTTGACATTTCAATCTCACTCCAGCGGAATGAAATGTCCCGTTGAAGCCGGGCGGAAGCTCATCGAGGTAACGAGGCAGCGCTCTCTGTCCGAGGCAGAAGCGACTCAAATCCTTCGCCTAACTCCTCATCGCACAAGCTCCCACATCCCCCATAGTGCCCCCCCCCGCTGCCCGTCCACGCACCCCCCGCACGTAACGGCACATCCGCTCGTCCGTTAAAATCCATTCTCTTGCCCGCGACATCCTTGCAGTGAATTCTGGGCTTCAGAGTCGATTAGTTAATGTTTGTAGGAATTCTATTGAGAGTGTGGGTTACCCCCTACCCCCCACCCCCCCCCCCCCCCAGAGAGCGTGGGTAATCCAAACCCTTCTAAAATTCCAAGACGCCTGGACAGCGTGGAAGAGTAGGCCAAAGACACCCTCTACAGGGGATCTCTCTCTCGAGCTCCCTGTAGTGGAGGCCTTTCCGCTACAGCAGTGGTGTGAGCAGGGAATTGCAGGGCTGCACCTCTAACATGTTTTGCTAAAGCTTACGTTTGGAAACAAGAGGGTAACAAAACGAGAAGCGACACGGGTGAGACTAAAATCGATACTGCAACTCTCTCAAATCTCGTCGAGTAATTGAATCTCGGGGTGGAGGCGGTTGGTGGGGTTGGGGTAGTAAATCATTATGCGTCGACCGAGAATGTTTAATTGTCATGGGAACAACTGAACGGGACTCGTATTCTCCCAAAGACCCGATGATATCATCATCATTCGCCACAACCCATTCAACCCCCGCCCCCTACAACCCCCACGGGGGTCGCGACCCCTTGGCGGGGCCGGCAGGAAGAGGCCCTTCTCTGGGTTGCAGGCGTTCTGTGGTGAGGAGAGAGCGAGACGCGCGGGAGGTTCTGGCGCTCACCCGCCGAAAACCCCAATAACGGCGCACCAACAAATCCCAAACAGATTTAGGATTCAGCAGCAGCAGCAGTAGCAGCAAAGAGCAGCAGCGTCAAGCCTTGCGAAACCCCAGACTGCGCGGATACTTTTTCCAGCTTCGGCAAAAAAAAAAATGTATATAACAGGACGCAGTGCTCTTTAAATTGGGTGGGGAAAAAAATCCTAATGTGCACTTTGTAGTGCCAATCGCAAAGACGTCGTTGCGACTCTTGAGACGAGTGCTGGAGATTGTGAGACGTAGTGAGTTGCGAGAAGGGACGATGCACGATAATGACGGTGGAATGGCAGTCAAGATGGAGGTGGCGGGGGTAGAAACGCGCTGGAGGGCATGTCCGACGGTCCGACGGAGAGACGGAGCGTCGACATCGGCTTGCGCGCGGGTGTCTGGTAGATTATTGTATCGTGGGATTGTGAGAGATGGGCGACGGTCCGTGGGAAGCCGTCGCCATCCAGCGGCAGAGGACCGACCACTGGCGATGGTGAACGTTTGACGCAGCCTGGTGACGGAATATCGTCGAGACGAAGTCGGCGGCGTCTCTCTTCTTAACCCGAGCTCCGCGAGAGTCAGACGCTGCTCGCTCGCACGCTCGCACGCTCGCGGAGAGGGAGGCTGGGGACTGGTGCACTGGGGAGGGAGTTCTGTCCGTGTGAGACGACTCGCCAGCCAGCGCCCCCCCCCCCCCCACACCGCCCACCCCTACAGCCAACCCCCCCATCGGTAACAAGAGACGGAGCGAGCGTAACAGCCTGGCGCGTTTCTGACGCCACACTCGCCGTGGCGTGACCCGCCGCCCTCCTGCGCCGCCAGCCACACCGACCCCCCTCCCCCACCTCAGCCAGCGCCACTGTAACCACCGCTGCTGGGCTCATATCTCTGTGTTTATGACCGTGGACATTTGATTAACTTCGGGACATCGACGAGGACGAGGACGACGAGGACGACGAGGACGACGACGAACCAAGTTCTCTGCACTTCAAAGGAAACCCACGCATCGTCAAGGCCGCTCGCTGCTCTCCGCTTCGCATTTCCCATCGGCCCCTCGCCGCCGTCGCCGGCCCCCTGGCCTTGTGGTGACCTGAGTTAGCGCCCTGTCAGTGGCAGCGTGCGAGCAGGCGGGCCGCCTGACCGAGGGAATGAAGGCAGCGCCGGATGAAGCTAGTTGGCGGGGCCCGTTGCGATTGTTATAAAGGGGCTTCTAAATAAATAAATAAAACCGCGCATAAATATTAAAACGCTCATTTATAACTCGCATGGTAAAGTAAATGTATTTTTTTCATTTGCTATACAGCCGAACAATACGACAAATCGCTAACCTTAAACACCCAGTCGTTCGTAAAAGTTGAAGGCGGTGTAGTACTGTAGCGATAGAGCTAGTGCAGAATCACTGAACCGGAATTGATAGCTTGAAAGCGTTTAGCGCGGGGCCCTTGAAAGTGCGGGGCCCGTAGCTACTACATATGTAGTAGCTACTTTTGCTGCTACCATAATCCGGCACTGGGTGAACTACACGTGTAGTAGCTACTACACGTGTAGTAACTACTATATATGTAGTAGCTACTACACGTGTAGCTGCAGCTACTACACGTGTAGCAGCTACTTTTGCTGCTACAATAATCCGGCACTGGATGAAGGCGGACGGGATGGCGGTGCGTGGGAGGTTGGGGAGCGACGTGAGGGAGGGCGCTCACCTGTGGCCGTGATGGTGAGGTCGTGCGTGCGGAAGCCGTCCTGGACGTCGTCCAGGGTGAGGGAGGTGTGAGCGAGGAGCTGATACTTGGGCCCGCTGAGAGAGACGGAAGACAAAAAAAAACAGAAAGATAACAAAAATAATTTTGTTTTTCCATCTCGATGAATCGTTCTCGTGACGCAGGTTGGCGACGAGGTGTTAATCGAGGATTAAGCCTCGGGCTTTGTCGAACTTAAAATTGTTTCTCTGCTCAATTGGGCATTGGGGTCATCGTCCCAGCAGCGATTCCGTGAGTTGTCGCGATTCGTGGTCGCGACTCAACTCAAGAATCGATTCTTTTTGCGTGTACCGTGAGCCTAAGTTTCGATTTAATAAGCAACAACTCATCAAGGCATACGGGTCGGCAACAAAAATAACAAAGAGCCAATACATTTTGATTTAAAGCTTTCGTGACTGCAGTGATTCATATTCTTGTTTCTTTCGGGAAAGTCACCACGTAGAAGGGAAAACAATAAAATAATAAAAAGATAACATAATAAAAACATGTATTTTTTTATTTTATTGTTTCCCTTCTACGTGGTGACTTTACCGAAAGAGCCAAGACTACATAGAGTCGCAATGCGCGAAAGCGGTCCTTCAAGAGCCGCACGCAAGTTGCCTGGCTCCTGCGTGAACGGGACGGCTCAAGTCGCAGCTGCACAGCCGTCGCAGGCTCCGCCAGTCGTGATGAGTTCTCTGGCTCGGACCGCTTTCAGATTTGTTTTTTGCACCAGTTCAGAATGCTCTGGCTTCACGTCCGTACGCACGTTGAACTTCTTCCACACCGTACGTAGGCAACCGTGCTAATCGGAGGTGCGGCGGAAGGACAACAAACTAACACACGCAAAAAAGCGTTTTGGAGTTCACGCGGTTCTGTATGCTCGACTTGTGATGAGTAAAGAGTGGGCACGGTTGGTGGGGTGCAAGGGGGCTAGCACCCGTCCCGGTAGCGATGGCCTCACCTGACCACGGTGGTGACGGGCGGCGAGGTAGCGGCGGCGGTGCCGGAGGCTCCCGCGTCCCCCCGAGGCGACGTGTCCAGGGCGGCCCGGGCCCTGCGCCCGGCCGAGCGGCCCAGCGAGCCGCTGATCCGCCCGGCGAGACCCCTGGGCCCCACCTGGGTGCCGGCCGCGCCGCCTCCCACTCGGCACGACTCTTCGGCGGCGCAGCAGCTGTAGACCTCCACGCGCAGGCGGAACGCGGGGCTCGCCTCGCGGCTGCACGCGACGGACAGATGGCCAGACGGACAGATGGGTGCAATATTTTGATTTAAAGCTTTCGTGACTGCAGGGATTCATATTCTTGGGCACGTAGAAGGGAAACAATAAAATAATATTTTTATTATTGTATTGTTTCCCTTCTACGTGACTTTACCGAAAGAAACAAGAATATAGATGGGTGCAATGTCAAATTAGTTGTGATCATTCGTAACGTTGCACTTGATTCTCAATGAACCCTTCGGCCGATTCGTGCCGTTGAGTAAGATGTTTTAACTGTGAGCTGCTCCTCACTCGTCGGGGGTCAGTGCCGACGTAAACACCGATTACAAAGCGATTACAATGTCAACAGATGACTTCACCCCATTGTTTTGTAGATTAAACAACACACACTCTTTATGTTTTGTCTAATTTACATGCTTAACATGATCCGTTTTTTTTCCTGTTTTATCCGGGCCAGTCCGCCACCCCACTCCTGCCCCCACCACATTACCCCGGAAAGAATTGGCGGTTAACCGCACGAAAAAAAGAGGACATTTTAGGAAATTAATTGCCAGCAATCATCATCAACGGCAATGGTTGCTCCACCCTTTTTCTGTTTGTAAAAGATTACTAAATCTGATCGCTGCCGCCCCTGGTGGGCAACTGGGATGGCAGCTTCCAATCAGACCACCAGACGCTTGTCTCCTCGATGCCATTGCCATACCAAGTTGCCATCGTTGCTCGCTCTAAATGCGTTTCCCGTGACAAAATTCTGACGGCTATTGCCGCAAAATTGTCCCCCGAATGCACCACGGCTTCTAGCGTGGCAATACTGGCCACACTCGTGTCAAATACAAGGATCCCCTGGATAACCTCAAGAGACTTTTGGTGGCAAGTGCTGTTAGCGAGCGACTATGAAGGCTGGCACAGCGGAGAAGAGGGTGGCCAGCACCACGCCACTCCCCGATGGCGATGTTTACACACCGCACAAGATACTAATTTGAGGCTGAGTCGACCTGGGGGGAGGCCCAGGTACCGGTTTAGATAATCGTCACTGATGTTGGCGTGGCCGTGAGCGGGAAACGAACTCGGGTCGCCGGGTTCGTTAGCGCACGACGCTTACCGCTGCACACGTGTCGCACACACACGCTCACTCGCTCACTCGCGCGGCAAAGCCGGCCTCTCCCTTTCATCTCGTGCAACTATAAATATCGCTGTGCAGGCGCTTAAAAAAATACCAACTCTCCTCCTCTGTTGTGGTAAAATAAAAAGTACATTTTAATATCGAGCAACGTGCTTTTCATTTTGAGAGTATTAATGTTTAGCGTAGGTTTTCGTCCCTGGTGAGGGTGGCGGGGGGAGGCGCTCGAGTTATTCCCACGAGATTTGATTGAACACGTGCGAGGATTGGGCGTCGGCGCGAGATTTCATTTTTCCCCGCCGTCGCAAGCCAAGGAATATTTTTTTTCTCTCCCAGATCAGGCCGCTGAGCTCAGAGCGGGAACAAAAGCAACCTCCTCGTTCGAGGCGCTGCTGCGACGGCCGTGAGCCTGGATCCCAGCGCGGAAGAAAAACAAAAAAACGGCGGAACGGGACCTCGACGAAATGGAACGCACCCGAGGGGCATCGTCCCGGCCAGGGGGGACGGAGCGATGGAATAGTCTCGCGACGGATCGCAGGAAAACCGAGAGGCGGCGGCGGAGACCTCAGGGGAGGCCTTTATATTGCCAGCGGATTGATCACGGCCGACTGTTACGACGGTGGGGCGGGAGGCGGTACTCTCTCATCGCGGTGGCTCTCCACCCGGCCGGAAGTTCCTCGCGTCACCTTCGTCACAACCAAGACCCGTCACCCGGGCGAAGTGGACGTCGTCAACTCGAATGGAGATATGATCAGAATAGGAACCGTGATGGGGGAAACGTGTGGTATTTGTAGGTTCATTGGGGGGTTGCAAATATTTGCCGGGGGTGCACACGTGGATCTTGTGGTAGGGGTACACGTGGCTTTGCGAGAGTGGGGTGCGGCGACTTACAAGACGGCGGGAGCCTCGAAGCACACGTCCGTGACGGAGCGGTCGACCAGGACCATCTCCGTGTCGACGATCTCGGAGCCGAGACGCAGCAGGCAAAACACGGCGTGCCGCGGAGACTCTGCCACACGCAAACACAGACAAAGATCCCCCCGCGTAGCCTTTATCAGACAGCTGGGGCAAGTGCAGTTTGCGAGCATCTATTAATGCACTGCCGAGGTCACGGTCCGAATTTGCCAACTTTTGTGACCAATATTATCCCAACCAATCGTAGGTACTGCATAGTCTCAGATTATCATGATCCATTGTTACTTCTATGACGACGTTAACCCCTCTCTGGTCTTCGCACGTGATGAAGCTCACAGTGATGACATCACCATTGCTCGTTTTAAGACTGAAGCGGGAGCATTTCTTTACAATTCTGGCTAATCGCCTGATGAAGCTGGTTGTCATCCCCAGTGAAACGTCGTACTCAAATTTGTAAATGTTTTGGGTTTGCTCTCCAAACACACCGGTGTGCTGAAGTAGTAACTCATTGGCGCGCTTTGTTCACGTGACGAACCTCACTGACAACACATTTACATTCACGCGATCTAACCCCAAACCCCCCCCCCCCCCTAAGTTGTGGACTTAAAAAAATCACACCGCGGATTTGTCGTTTGGGAAAACAAGTTACAACATCGCCCTTTACTGCGGAACGACTGCAGCCCCGCGTCTGCGAAACACGGCAGCGCCTTCCTTCGTGACGATCGCCTTGCACTGCGAGAACGATAGCGCCGATACAAAACGAACTCGCGATTTCAATATTGTGAAGATCCAGCAGCGCTGCACACGAGCGGCGTTGCGTGGCGAGCACAACGCCCGGCCGTCTTTGTCGTTGCCTTCCCAGTGCCGATGTTTACACAGCACACCGGGCGTAGGCCCAGGACCGGTCTAACATCACCCACCACTGATATAAATCTACGGCTGTACGTATGTTGAACTTCTTTTGCACCGTACGTAGCCAACCGTGCTAATCGGAGGTGCGGGGGAAGGATTGCAAATAAAAATTATTGCCTTTTTTGGGTACTGGAAAAGTCTCCCGGATAGTTTGAGGATCACTGGTGAGATCTTACTTATAAATTATTATTTTTATATAGTATATGCACAGTTTGTCTCTTAATTGTGATTCTTAAATATGTTATTGTTAAATTTTTATTTAAAGCTTTCGTGACTGCAGGGATTCATATTATTGGTTCTTTCGGTAAAGTCACATAGAAGGGAAACAATAAAATAATACAAATATACAACTAATATTATTTTATTGTTTCCCTTCTACGTGACTTTACCAAAAGAACCAAAAATATGTTATTGTTAGTTTTAATGTGAGGTTAGTAACACTTAGCCTCAGCTGTGCTCCAGTTGGCTGGCTGGCTGGCTGAAAAAACATAACAATCGAAATGAAAACTCACCGCCCTTGTTCTTGAAGTGTTGCGTATCCTTCCACATCAACGGAATTCGGATATCTGTTGGGACACAGAAGAATTAAACCAAAAAAAACCCCCTCAACTCTACCAGGTTACACGTGAACTCTATTTAGAGCATTAGGCTGCTGTTATAAATTTCCACTTGATAGGCTACTTTGTTGAGCTATCATTTGTGGCCAGGTCGCTTCTGAAAAAGAGCTATATAGCTCAGTGGGCCTTTATCCGGTAAAATAAAAAAATCGGTCAGTTTTAGTTTATAAACTCAACCATGAGCTCCGCAGCAATTACCGTCACGAAATTTGGACGGCACGCTTCACGGCTGGGAGGTGACGATCGCCGGTAGTCGAGACTAACGACCGAGCGGAGGTCAAAGGTGGGAAAATCGTTTCCGAGCACGCCCACCGCGGAGACGGAGCGACGAAATTAGCCGTCGCGTGCAGCAGCTTGGCTGCAGGGGGGTCGGCAACCTGCAGCTCCAGAGCCCCGTGCAGCTTTTTGGCTGTCCCCTTGCGGGCAAGACATTTGTATATTTATGTAAACGTTCTTAAACATAATTGAACATAAAGATTATTGTTTAAATATGGCAGGGAATGGGTCACTATGGAATGTCTCGGTGACAAGCAAAATGTACAACAAAAGTCAAACTGTTTTGTATAACCGAGGGGGTGAAATAAACCAAACAGACGCAGTTTATTCCTGCTTTTGCAGAATGTGTTTGTCGTCTGCTGTATACCCGCTATGTTTGTGTACAGGCAGTTCGGCGTGTGATGCGGCTAGCAAACCATTTTGGTCAAAGACAAAAAAGAAATGGCTCTCCTTATTTTTCTTTGAAAGGTCGCCGACCCCCAAGCTAGACGGACCGTTGCATCGCGTGACCGTGAGAGGTGGCGACGGTTTGGGGACGCCTTCGCCCAGCAGTGGAGAGATCACGATCGTCCGTGATGACTACAAAGTACATTATTATTGCTACTATTATCATAGACCCAGGAACGGTGCGGCTCACAGCTGTTCGCACCTGTGATGGCGACGGTGCCTGTGCAGGAAACTCTCTCCTGGGGGCCCCCGTCCGATGACCTGGACAGGAGGAAGAGACGTGGAGTGAAGGGGGGTGGTGAGGGAGGACAATTTTAAGAGTACGGTTGGCTACGTACGATGCGAAAGAAGTTCAACAAGCACACATTCGGTATGTGCGGACATACAAGAAACGTTTCTGTGTGTGACGTCGCGTGGTTTTTGCATCAGGTCCGGTACCCGCGGTGTAACCCTACCAGCGGGTACCCACGGATGCCCACGGGTAGCCTAATGAATAAACATTCACTCGTCGGCCCTCCGCTGCCTCCAGAGTGGAGCTGCACCCCTGGGCACGGGAGGATGTTCGTCAAAACGGAGCAAAACGCAAACTTAAAGACACGCCACTATTTTCGTCCCAATATTTTGCGGGTGTCTTTTAGCCGTACCTCACAGTGCCCGTGGCCCTGCCCACGTCAACAAAGCAGTCGGGGGGCAGGGGGCCTTCATCCAGCAGTGGATCGATAAAGAGCTGTAGGTTACGCAGCAGTATTTATCCCGAAGACCGTCGCACGTCGTGACAGTAGCTCACGAGTCCATCCTGGACGTCGCCGTAAATCCGCTTATTCCGGGTCGTTTAGAAACCAGTGACCGTGGCAATTACAATCCTTCTGTAATCCCATTAACGGCGCTAATAATAGCAAAGCATTTGTTTAATTGTGGATAAATGGGCCCCGCCATGAGCAGATCCGCAGGGGAGTCGAAGGGACGTCATTCGTGGAGACTGAGTGAAGGTTGGGAGTTGTCTGCCGCGGGGGGTTATATCGTAACACATTTCAAGTAGAAGCATCTTCTGCTGGCGGCTGTCGTCGATCTGATGCGGTCAGTCAACAAGTGGAATTTGAAAACAAATGGAGCCGGGGATGACTGTTGAGAGGAATACATTGCATTCTTTTATCCCCGATCGTTCTTTTCGCAATTGCAAATATCAGACGCCCACTTGTGTAGGACCCTGCGAAATTCACGTGCGAGTGGCAGGCCTCTCTCCCTGCCAACGCAAGAGTTGGCTGCGGCGCGCGCTGTGAGCGGGGCGGCCCCAGCGGCGGCCGCAAGCGGACGAGCCCATTGAGCGCAAGCGGCGCGCGGCGGTGCCCGTCCGCGCAAGGGCGATGGAGCGATCGCGCGAGCTTTCCCGAGCGGTTTTGAATCGCGAGCGCCGCTCGATAGGGCTGGGGTCTCGCAACCGACCTGCGCTGAGCGCGCCGCAGCACCTGCGCCTCCTGGCGCCGCTGCAGCTCGGCCATGCACGCGAGGACGCGCGCGTCGCACACCAGGAGGCTGCGCGCCGCGTCCAGCGCCTGCTCGGCGCGCGAGCAGGCCGCCAGCAGCCGGCAAGCGCCCTCCCGCACGCGCATCTCCCGCTCGATGCGCGCCTGCAGCCCCGCGTCCTGCTCGCCGACACGCACGGCACACGGCACACGGCACACGGCACACGGAGGGGGCGTTAGAGCAGCCGTCAAAACCGAGTTCAAGGTTGGGAGGTCGTCCGTGACTGCGACAGGCAACACACAAAAGGCAAAAGTGCCCCGTACATCCTGCGCCGTGCTCTTGGGGAAAATGTTGTTAGCTGGCACCTATTAAGGCTGGCATGGCACACAAGGAGGTGGGTGGCCAGCAACACGCCCGGCCGCCTTTGTTTCCCTAGTGTTGATGTTTATACACGCGGTGCCGGTAGCTCATTTTAAGGCTGAGTCATCCTGAAGGCGGCGCAGGGGCAGGCTCAAATATTCGCCACCGTTATCGGTCGTGAGCGGGAATCGAACGTTGTTCACTGGGTTCATAGCGCAGTGCGATAACCACTGCACCACCGCTCCCCACACATGATGATGATGATGGTGAGAGATGGTGACGGTGGCGATGGTGGTGATGGTGGTGGTTACGACGATGACGAAACAAAAATCCACCGCCCAGGGCCCTCGTGTGTTCTGCCGGTGGATCCGGCCCAGTGACAAAAACTCAAGATCCCGCGAAGCTGTCGTAAGCGGTCGATCAGCGTTAAGCACCGCTAATCCAAGCGGCGTGGGGTCCCTCTCAGTCCGGATTCCGGGGCAAGCCATGCGAACCCACGCTCGCTAACCCCCTCCCCCCCAGCGCCAATCCTACACGTAACCAACCCTCCCAGCCCCCGTCAACCCCCACCGAAACCACCCCGCCCACAATAAGATGATGGCTCAATTGTGGACCGGGACGGAAAGAGTCGTTGGTGTATCGTCGCCATGTCCAAACATGTTGGAGGGGGGGCGGGGGGTGACTCATGAGAAGTGAAAGGAGGCAGGAGGTCGCGAGCACCGCGGTGGCTAGGAGATGTTAACTACCTCGCCTGGTATACAGGAGGTCGGGTGTTCAATGCCGACCCTGACGCCTGCTGTATATTTGGAGTTTGCACGTCTCTCTCCCTGTGATCGTGTAGATTTTATTCTCCGGGTCCTCCGGTTTAACCATCCACGTTTAGAAATGTGCGTTCGGAGTATTTCGATTATTTGGCTGCTATAAATTTCCACATGATAAGCCACTTCGTTGAGCAATCGTATGTGGCCAGGTTGCTTCTGAAAAAGAAGCTAATAAGCCCAGTGGGCCTCACCTGTAAAATACAATTTTGTGTCATTTGTTTACCTTTCCCATACCTTGCACTCGTATCGTGTTTTTGTATCGTTTGTTGTTGTAACTCACTGACCCGCCCCGACTGGACATCTGAGTAAAAAAAAGAGCTTCATAGCTCATCAGATTCCTCCAATATTAAATAAATATTCTGATTCTGACAGTGGGATGGGTTCACGCCCCGCTTTGTACCCCCGGTAGCGAATCCGCGCATTACAGGCGGCCTCCGTGGGAATTTCAATCGGAAGCGCCTGTGTCCATCCCTTGGGATGACCGCACCCAAGAGCAGCGACCACCAACCCGACCACAAAACGTCCCCAAAACCACGCTTCACCGTTTGCCATTAATACTGGTCTCAGAAACATGCACACAATGCTGACGTTTCGGGCAACGGCCCTTCTACAGAGAGGAAAGAATGCGGGCAACCGGAGAGATTTCACCGAGAACGTGAGCTCGTGAAAAATGAACGTGGTTGCATCGCAAGAGTGTGAGAGGCGGTGATGACGAAGCCTTGGCGGAGGCGTGCAAGGTTAATCGAGGAGGGGGCAAATTGAACCCGGCGATGCGGTCGTGCGTGAGGACCGCCGCGCGTGAGCAACACAACCGGACGGCGCTCGATGTCCGCGGAGTTTGGGGGGGGTGGGTGGCGTGGCACCGGGGGGGGGGGGGGCACGCGCACCCTCGCGCGCTCCGTCGTGATCGTGAGTGACCGTGGCATGGATCGAAATAGAAAGAAAAAAAATCTAAAATCCCCTAGTGGGACCCGGTGCCAGGGCAGGTGCTGGGCTTAAGCGACAGCCACCACCGACAAAAATACAAAACAAAATTAAATCCCCGGCAGAATGTTAAGTGCGGAGAGAGTGGCGGAGCGTCCCCAACCCCGTGCTCGACCCCAAAATATCGTCCGCCGGATCTGTCCGACACACCACATCCAGTATACCTCTCAATACGGCTACTGCAACTGTGGCCACGAGCCACCTACTCCAGCCTACGAGCGATCGGGAAAATTATTCCTCGCCCGGTACACCACATCCAGTATACTTATCACCACGACTGGCTATTACAGTCGTCACGAGCCACCTTCTCCAGTCTACCAGCGACCCAGAAAACCTTCGATGAGGAGTGGGTTAAGCCCTCTCTCGCGAAGTGAAAGCTAAACGCATAACGTGGCGCGCACTCCACACGTACGGCTGAAGGAAGCGCCGCTAATGTTCTCTGTGCGGTGCTTGTTGAGCACCGGAGCACCCCCCCCACCACCCCCCCCGTTCCCTGTGCATCGGCGAATTTAATTGAGGCAGTAAAACACCGCCAGTACGAGGCTGCCACGTGCGTCAGACGCGCGCGGCAACTTGCCCGCTGCTGAACGTCGCCGCGAGTGTACAGCAGCAGCAGCAGCGGTTTATTTAACGAGCCAGTAGCGAAAGGGGGGGGGGGGGGCCCGTGGAAATTATTCATTTAAATCGCTGGGATTCATTGGCAATGGGCTCGCGCACAAAAGCGCACACTCTATTCAGTGCGTTAATATGTCACTTGTTAGCCCGTCCTAGGACGGAAGCTGTGATATTAAAGATGCACATTAACGTTTTATTGTGCGATTGTTAATTTTATTAGGAAATGTAGTACGTAAATACAATTTTCTTCACTTATCAAATGAAATTAAGGACTTTGGAAGATTTCTCGGTATACGATATTTTGTGTGAATCTCTTATCACTGTTCAAAAGGTTTCCCTGCAGTTGCTATCCTTGATGAGCACTTTGATCCGCTGAGGATATCTAGATCTAGACAGCGCTTTTTAGATTGTATAGTGGCAGTGTGATCTGCAGAGGGGCCAAATCTAGCTAGCATAGAGGCAACAGAAGCATTAAAATTGTTTATTTTTTTGACCAGGAACTCTTCAGTATCTTACACAATAGGCAAAGGCAAACAATTTCTGTGGCTGTATAATTTGAAAAAACCCCCCCGTAACTTCACTTTAGCACTGTTTCCAAATCACCTGAAGCTGTTAACTGACAAATTTATTTTTCGATGTAAAGCTTTCGTGACTGCAGGGATTCATATTCTTGGTTCTTAATTTTATTAGGAAATTATCACAACGCAAGCAGCCGCCCTCAGGTGAAGGAACAGAGCTGTCGGAAAGACAGCGTCCTAATGAACACTGCTAAGCTTGGCTTGACAGTGAACACTGCTAAGCTTGGCTTGACAGTGAACACTGCTAAGCTTGACAGTGAACACTGCTAAGCTTGGCTTGACAGTGAACACTGCTAAGCTTGGCTTGACAGTGAACACTGTTAAGCTTGGCTTGACAGTGAACACTGTTAAGCTTGGCTTGACAGTGAACACTGCTAAGCTTGACAGTGAACACTGCTAAACTTGGCTTGACAGTGAACACTGTTAAGCTTGGCTTGACAGTGAACACTGCTAAGCTTGGCTTGACAGTGAACACTGCTAAGCTTGGCTTGACAGTGAACACTGCTAAGCTTGGCTTGACAGTGAACACTGCTAAGCTTGGCTCGACAGTGAACACTGTTAAGCTTGGCTTGACAGTGAACACTGCTAAGCTTGACAGTGAACACTGCTAAACTTGGCTTGACAGTGAACACTGTTAAGCTTGGCTTGACAGTGAACACTGCTAAGCTTGGCTTGACAGTGAACACTACTAAGCTTGGCTTGACAGTGAACACTGTTAAGCTTGGCTTGACAGTGAACACTGCTAAGCTTGGCTTGACAGTGAACACTGCTAAGCTTGGCTTGACAGTGAACACTGCTAAGCTTGGGAGTGTTCATTAGGACGCTGCCTTTCCGACAGCTCTGTTTCTTCACCTGAGGACGGCTGCTTGCGTTGTGGCCGAAACGTCGTGGGAATTTTATTTTATTGTTTTATTGGTATTATTTAATTATTTCCCTTCTACGTTACTTTACCGAAAGAACCAAGAAGTTGACAAATGTATTCTAGATTTGAAGCTTTCGTGACTGCAAGGATCCATACTCTTTGGTTCTATTCGGTAAAGTCACGTAGGTAAAAAATAAAACAACAAAAATCACGACGTTTCGGCCACAACACAAGCGGCCTTCATCAGGTGAAGGGACCAGACTGTTTCGAAGACTCCAGCGCAGTCTTCGAAACAGTCTGGTCCCTTCACCTGATGAAGGCCGCTTGTGTTGTGGCCGAAACGTCGTGATTTTTGTTGTTTTATTTTTTACCTACGTGACTTTACCGAATAGAACCAAAGAGTATTGACAAATGTATCTTCACCGATGGACGCTTGATAGTGAAGAGTGAAGAAAGTTGAATGCTGATACTGTCTGAAGTAACTTAGAAAATCACGAAGACCAAAGAGAAGCATTAGAGCTACGAATAAATTGATCAGAGTATGATTGCATCTTGTATAAATGTAATGGCAGTGAATATTGAAAAAATAATGTCATCAAACACTTCGCTGCATTTCACTGTAGCACTGTATTAATGGCAGTGAATGTTGCACGAAAGGAAGTCATAAAACACCTCACAGCATTTGACCACATCACTGCATTAATGGCAGTGGTTGTTGCACGCAACAAAGTCATCAAACACCTGACGGAATGTCACAGTAGCACTGCCTTTAACGGACGTTCAATTACTTGCAATCCACTGCTCTGATGCTTACTTAACTTTCGCTTTCGCTCGCTGGGGTTGAACACAAATGGGAGTTCGATACAACGTCTGCGGCATAGAATTATTCACTGCCTTCACTTTCTTCTTCTGCGTTAGTCAAATAATCCAGGCACACGTGAAAAATAATAAGGGGGGGG